TCAACGCGATTGTTACTGGGTCAGGTTAATTACCCTTCATACTGCCACCACCTCCTTTTTGTACAGAGAAAGAGGAAACTCAGCAATATCAGCAATAACACTAGGATGATTAGATGATCGTCTGTATACCACTGTCACCGCAGGCAGGTTATACAGAGGGTTAAACACACATAGTAGCACTTTTCAGCGTCAGGAATTCGTAAGTTGCATTAAGGAGCTTTAGAGACAATTCAACACTTTCAGAAAGAAAGATTTATTACTAAAAGGTCAAAAGGGTGCAATAAAAATAGTTACAGAAAAAAGATGTAACCAATATATATATAAATATACAGAGAACAATAGCACAGCAAAAAGATAAACAGACAGAAGTTTAGGTAGATAAGTACTTGCAAAAAAGCCTTGGGTTAAAGCAGCTTCAAGTCTCATGAGCCAAAAAAGATTTTCTTGTCTCTACTGCTAGTTTCGATGTTACAGGGCAGGAGACTCTGCTTTCTCTCACTCTCACACAACTCTAAGCATAGCAGCCCTTTTTCTACAATCTCAGCAGGGTGTCTCCTTACAACAAAGAACCAATTGCCTTATTTGGGGAGGGAGGTGTAGGTGGAGCCCGAAGTTATGACTAGAAGCTCTCCTAGCTGCTATTTTGGCTCATAACTTTTCCCAGGTACATTTGACATCCCACCCACGGGTAGATTAGTATGCAGAACCGTCTGTTGAAGATCTACATATGAAATATAACATACCTGCTAAGATGATTAAGGAAATTTTATTTTTTGCTCTCCTGTTGATCTCAGCTAGGGAAGGTAAGATACTAAACGATTTGTCTCATCATGACCAATCTGAAGATATGGCTGTTTTTTGTGTAAGTCTCTCATATTCCAAGATATGAGACATAGGGGGGAAATGGATTTTTTAAGGTGGTATCTAGTTTATTACTCCTCTGGAATGTCTTTGAACTCAGGGAAAGGCTTGGGTTATACTTTTACGATGTGCCAGATTGCACAGTTTCTTAGACCGTGAGGCCCCAGCTCCCTTGGGGGTTTTATAGCTCGGAGCTACCTGCTGTGCTTTGGCCGCCTGTGACACTTCTCATCACTCAGGCCACATGTCAAGGTGGATGAGCAGAGAGGGAGGGGGTTGAGGAAAGATATATTTGTACAAGATGGATGATCCTTTGCCAAGATGGAGGTTGGAGCAAAATGGTTGAACCGCGTCCATCTCTGTGGGTACGATTGCTACAATATCCCCTTTCCCAATCCTGGTATGGTGGGGTGACTACTCAGACAGGAAGAAGAGCAGAGACCTCCTCTATTCCCGCAGTTTATTGTGTTCAGGTGCCCTTTTGTTGACTGGTAACATTTCATGCTAATACCATTTGGGCTAACATTCAAAGCGGAGGCATTGCCCTGGGGGCATTCTGCGCTGAACACTGGAAGCTGTTCCCATAAAAGGCAAACAAATGGGAAAGGAGTCATTCCCAGCAGTGGTGTATCTATAGCCTTAGCAGCCTACTTGACTGCTGTGGAGCCCGAGGGTGGGAAGGGGACTACTAGGTAGGTTGTCTGAAGTCTCCATTCCAGAGGAGCTCATGCTCGGGATCACTCTATTGTTAGTCTAAAATGGTGCTAAAATGGTGGGCGGGAGGGCTAGAATTTACCCTCTGATTTTGTACTCCAAAAAGATCAGTTGATGCTGGTAAACTACTGAGTAGGTAGTTGGAGAATTAAAGTGATTTTAAACCCTCACCTTGTACAACAATCCATTCAGTTTAAAATAGAAATAAAAGGCAAAACATTTGTGTATAGATATAAACAACATTATAAATACCTCTTTTGTCCCTTTTATATAAGTAATCACATTCCCTCTGTTATCAGCTGCACAAGAGATAGGGGAGGATTAACAGCAGCACACTGATCTTCCCAATTACAAATCTCCCCCCCACCTTTTTTTAAGTGATCACGTACCCTCTGCTATTTGATGCATAAGGAGTTTAGAGAGCTGTGGTAGGAGAAACAGCAGAACACTGATCTCCCAGTGAACGGTTTTGCAGGGGAGGGGTGTCAGGACAAGCCTGACACAAATCATTGAAGGAGAGCAGGTTGAGTTCTCAGCACAGCTAAAGAACTGACTACGCTGTGCTCTGTGCTGGCTAGTGTGGTCAGATTTTTAAAATAGGAAAGCAGAGGGACTGGCAGGTGGCAGGAACACCAGGGACTTCGCAAAAAGGAAGCAATACAAAGAGAACAGGAGACCTTTTCATACAAGTACATGGTACAGCAAGCACATATAAGGAATATGAAATGTTGGCTTTACATATTGTTTTAAGGTGAAAAGTTAATTCCCTGTCCTGCTGCTCTTGTCTGGCATCTTCTAGCCACAGCTCTGGTTCCTAGTAGTGTGCTATGGCAGTGGTGGGCAACCTTTTTTTTCAACTGAGCCAAATCTCGCCAAAACCACGATTTAAATTTATTTTGAGAGCCACATTTTTAAAACTGAAAATACATAGGATGGTACACTGTTTTTAGTTTCAATAAGTTTTTTATAGTAATTCATCCATCCCCCATAGTAATTCATCCCCCATATAGTAATTCATCCCCCATATAGTAATTCATCCCCCATATAGTAATTCATCCCCCATATAGTAATTAATCCCCCATATAGTAATTCATCCCCCATATAGTAATTCATCCCCCATATAGTAATTCATCCCCCATAGTAATTCATCCCCCCATATAGTAATTCATCCCCCATAGTAATTCATCCCCCATATAGTAATTCATCCCCCATAGTAATTCATCCCCCATAGTAATTTCATCCCCCATATAGTAATTCATCCCCCATAGTAATTCATCCCCCATAGTAATTCATCCCCCATATAGTAATTCATCCCCCATATAGTAATTCATCCCCCATAGTAAATCATCCCCCATAGTAATTCATCCCCCATACTAATTCATCCCCCATAGTAATTCATCCCCCATAGTAATTCATCCCCCATAGTAATTCATCCCCCCTATAGTAATTCATCCCCCATATTAATTCATCCCTCATATAGTAGTAGTAAGTAAGTAGCAAGTAGTAAGCCAAGTCCCCCCTGTGTCAATTCACTTACCTTTGCTCCGCGCGTTCCTCTCGCCGTGTTCCCGCGCCGTTCCGGTCTTCAGGGCGGACTGTGAGAGGAGCCTAGCTCCTCTCACGTTCGTCACACTGCCCCGCCTACACACATCCTGACAGCCAATCACTGGCTATCAGGATGTGAGTGGCAGCGAGACTGGCCAATCATTGCATTTGAGCGCGCTGCCCTGGCTGTTTTTTTTTTGGATCACGCTGCAGAGTCCCTGCCGCCCGAGAGGAGGGAGGGGAGCGGGCGCCCGGCACACAAGAGCCGCATTAAAGCGTGTAAAGAGCCGCATGTGGCTTGCGAGCCGCGGCTTGCTGACCACTGGTCTATGCCAACATCACTGGGAGCCAGGAATTGTCCCTGCCTCTCCCCTCCAACATACCAAAGGTGATTGAGCAGCCTCAGCTGTGCATGTTTCCCTATGAGACTGTGTAGAGGGGGTATGTCCATTTCCTCCATTGATGTCTCAGATTACACTCAGCTCCCAGCTCTATGCTGTGCAGTGTGTGACATCAGATCCCCACACCCTGCATTCTGGAGCTGAGGAATGCTGTGTAAATTCTGGAGTTTAAATGGCTGTAGAGAAGGGAGGGCTGCAGAAAAACAGGTGCAACTCATGTAGTAAGATTTGTTTCTTCTCTGAGTATCACCTGAGGCCAGTCACTTCACCTGTGTATGTGTAAGGGTTTGCAACCACCATCTCAGCCCCAAGCCATTTCTGGCACTTTTTGTTCACATTTTAAAATCAGTATTTTTTGCTGGAAAATGTCTTAGAACCCCCAAACATTAAATATTTTTTAAAGCAGAGGCCCTAGAGAATAAATTGGTGTTTTTGCATATTTTTTGTGTCACACGGTATTTGCCCAACATTTTTTCAAAAGCAATTTTTGGGAAAAAATACACCTTTTTAAATTGTATGGCAAAAAAACACAATACATAACCCAATTTTTTTGAAAATATAAAAGATTATGTTACGTTGAGTAAATAGATACCAAACATGTCACACTTTAAAATTGTGCACGCCCGTGCAAGGGCAACAAATGGCACAAATTTTACTATGCATAGGCAGCACTTTGAAAGCCTAACAGGTTACCACTTTAGATTTACATAGGTCTAGTGCTGGAATTACTGCCCATGATATGACAATTGCGGCGATATATCACATGTTTGGGACAATCGCTCTTTGCATGTGTACTGGACCAGAGAACAAGCACAGAGGGGCTGGGGGCACTTTAATTTTTTTTTTCTACACTGTCTCTTTAATTTATTTTTTATCACTTTTATTGCTGTCACAAGGAATGTAAACATCCCTTGTGACAGCAATAGACATGTGATAGGTATTTGTATGGATGGATCTGGGGTCTATGAGATCCCAAATCCCTCCTCTGCATTTCAAACCATTCAAAACAACAAGATTGGTGTTTTTGAATGCCTTAACCCCTCTCCCTCCAAAGGATTTACTCCCCCTTCCTGACCAGGCCATTTTTTGCGATACGGAGCTGCGTTACTTTAACTGACAATTGTGCAGTCATGCAATGCTGCACCCAAATGAAATCTACGTCCTATTTTTTTCCCACAAATAGAGCTTTCTTTCAGTGGTAAATGATCGCCTGTGTGGTTTTTTTTTTTTTTTTTTTTGCGCTATAAACAAAAAAAGACTGACAATTTTGAGAAAAAAACATTTTTTTTTTTTTTGCTTTAAATATGTCCAGTAAAACATTTTTTAAAAATCAAATTTCGTCATAATTTTAGGCCAAAATGTATTCTGCTACATGTCTTCAGTAAAAAAAATCCCAATATGTGTAAATTAATTGGTTTGCGTTTACAAATGGCGGTATATATACTGCAATTTTTTTTTCAATACTAGTAATGGTGGCGATCAGTGACTTATAGCGGGACAGTGGGACTGCGGCGGGCATTCTGACACTGGGGGGGAACTGACTAACTGTCACTGACATCCTCAGTGACACCAGTGCAGTGATCAGTGCTGATAAAAAGCACTGAAACTGTTCTAATGGCACTGGGCAGGAAGGGGTTAACATGTGGGGCGATCAAAGGGTTACGTGTGTGTGTTTACAGTGAGCTGTGTGTGTGCTTTACGCTATATGCACACTACTTTGTATGCTCTGCTCTGCTATGCAGAGCCATACATATGGCTCTGCATAGCAGTTTTATGCTATGGAGCATACAAAGACAGGAGCTGACAGGGGAGAGATCTGTATTGTTTATACACGCTGGGTGCCAGCAGGGAATTTCCGTCCGTGACCCGGTGATCGACAGCTGAGGCCACCTATGGCAGCGCGGGTAGGGTGCGCGGTACCCGGAAATGCGAAATCGCATATATCTGATTTTGCACATCTGTGCTACCCTGTAGCAGTATTTGTACAATAGGGCAGAAGGCAAGCGTTTTAAGATTTTTAAAAATGCCACCGAAAGTGTCTGAGTAAACTGGAAGTGATGTCAGATTATCGCTTCTGGTTTACAATATAGGAGAGCCGATCAAAGCCGTTTCCAGCTTTGTTTGGCAGTCCGGCCAGCCGATGAACGCAATCGCTGGTCGCTCAGGACTCCATGGGACAGGAGATTCCAAGAGAGTGGTGGCAGGCAGCAGGAGGGGGCAGACTTCCTCTAGTAGGGGGGGTTAATAGCCGCTCTAATTGCATGTACAAGAGAGCTGACTGCCGGCTCTAAAAAAGAGTTCCGGGATGATACCTGCAGCTGCAGGTACGTCGCTGGTCCGGAACTGGTTAAAGTGATTGTAATGGATTGTTTTTTTTTTAAATAATAAACATGTCATACTTACCTGCTCTGTGCCATGCTTTTGCACAGAGAATCCCCGATCCTCCTCTTTTAGGATCCCCTGCTAGCGCTCCTTGCTCTTCCCCATGCCCCCATAATAAGCTACCTGCTCTGGGAATACTGGTGCCGTTTCTCTGTGTCCATTGAGCAGTTTGGCAACATCCCTCCTCACTGGCTGTGAGTGACAGCAGTGGGATCCATTGGAGGGGAAAAAGTAGGGAGAGCCACTGCTCTCATGCACATCACTGGATGGAGATTGGGCTCAGGTAAGTATAAGCGGGGGATGGGGAGTTGCTGCATGCAGAAGGTTTTTTATCTTAATGCATAGAAAAAGTAACTCCACTTTTTGTTAAAAAAATAAATTAATAAAAAAAATAAAATAAAAAAAACCCCAATAAAATATATATATATATATATATAATATATATATATATATATATATGTGTGTATATATATATATATATATATATATATATATATATATATAAAAATAAATATAACACATTACTCCAATAGTCTTTCTGTAGTTTAGTGCAAATAGAAATTGATGGCTGGCACAGGCTGTTCCCAGCAGATGTTGTGTCATTACATCTCTGGGACTGATCATGCGACTATAGCAAGTAGACTCTCCCAGGCAACACCAAGGAAGAAGCTGCAGGAATCTAAGTGGAATCCATGTGGGAATTGTAGTACAAGCGGCAGCAGGCACTGTATATCAGTGCAATATAGTTTATCAGAATCCTTTCCATGTATTAAACTCACCAATAGTGTTTTTTCCAACAAAGCGGAGATATACTTTAAAATGTATGTGTAGCCATTTTTTCTAGTTTTGGTAGGGAAGGGTTGAAAACCTTGTCAAGTTGTTTTTTGACATGTCCCATTGGGGAGATTTTTTTTCACTTCTTCTCCCAGAGATTCAACAGGAAGTAAAGGAATTTCTGCTGTTATAGAGTTGTCAAATGATTACCAGTGTCTTAAACTGTCCATAGGTGGATCAAAATTCGCCCAATTCAGTAGGAACCAGTCAAACTTTGTTCCATCTATCTAGTGATCGTCTTCTGTTGAACAGGAATTTTGGAGAGTTTTCGGCTGCGTAGCTGATCAGTGTATTCTGCCATTAAAAGATTCCCCGCTGTCAGAATAGCACAGTGGGGATTCCTCTATCCACCTTACTTGCGTGCGCAGGGAATCCTCTCATTTTTTTTCAATCAGCCTACTGGCTGATTGAGAAAAAATATCCCGACCCATCTATGGGCAGCCTTACTCTCACCACTTGTTCTGGTGACAACGCTTACATTTTGGATTTCTCCTTACTTTCTTTTTCAGCTATAGTTGTCTCCAGGACAAATAGAGGAGCAGATCTCTCCATTAAGAACTTGGCAGAGGGTCTAACCCAGGGGTGATCAACCTTTTTGAGAACGAGGGCCACTTCAGTGATTTGGTAACTGGTCGCTGGTCACAATGAAATGAAATGGTTCAGAATTTAGAATTTTAATTATTTGGAGAAGCTGGCTTTCATTGGTTGTAGGAGGAAAATGGAGAGGATCAGTTCTTGTATATGCGCCCCCCCCCCGCCCAAGTGTAAAACAGAATGTGACAGTGAGGCCGCACGGGCCTCCTGGAGCATGGAGCAGTGTCGCCATTGCGCCCCGTGATGCCGCACTAGTGGTTGGGAAGGTTTGGTAAAAACATGTCTCAACTATGGGGTTTTACGCCCCCCCCCCTAACTGCAAGCCCTTACTGTCCTGAGCCCCCTATGAGCTCCCTGCACACTGATGCACCTGCGGCTTTCTTGCAGGTTAGCTGCTCTTTGCCATAGACTTCTATTATATCTTGTGGGTGTTGTGCACTTTCTGAAAATGTGCCAAATTACCAGGATATAATAGAAGTCTATGGCTCAGTGCAGCCAACTCGCAGGAAAGCTGCAGGTGCACTGCTCTGCACCCACAGATCAGTGTGAAAGCAGTCTAATAGTTGTTAACCCTTTCAGAGGTGCTAATATGCCCATTGCAAACGCGCAATGTATGTGATGTTTAATACACTGACCTTATTTTCCTCTTCCAGCTTCTGCTGGCATTGCCCTCCAAGTACACTTGGTATCACTCTGCCTGCATAAGAAGCTGGAGCTACAGAAGAAGCATCAGCCTATGCGGCTCCTGCTCCCTCCACAGCCACCTGCTTTCTCCATTACCAGCGCCAGCTCGATGCTCTGGGATGGTGGGTCAGCAAGCCCAGATTGCGATCAACAGATTGCTGACCCGGGGCATGCACTTCCCTGGTTTGAGGTTGCAGGACCCCTGATCTAACCCTTTCCCACATTATCTAAGATTAAAAATACAGGTTATCCTGTTCATATACCTTCCCAATAATGAATTGTTTGTGAGCACTGGACATGCTTTATTTTTAAAATTTTCACAATTTATTAAAACATCTCACATATACAAAACACAAACACGTTTTTGAAAAAAAAAAAAAAACCTCCCTTAGCCCAGTCGAGATGATGAGTTTTCAGATAACATGAAATACAGTGAACACCTGAATCTTAGAACAAGTGGCCATTCCAAGTGTTTTACTGGCTTCTGGGTTCATCTTTTGGTCTTGCTCAAATAACTGCCACCAACCCCAGACAATCAACACAATACAACTTTATATGAAAAAAGTTGGATGTTAAGCTTTATTAGCACCATTTAATACGTTCAAGTACCTTTATTAGCACCTGTGTACAATTTCTTTGCTCACTCAACACCATTTTTGACTTGCTGGGAACCAGACGACACTTTGAGGTATTTAAAACCCATGGAAGTTGTTGATTTTTAACTTCCTCCATTAGAGATATTCAAAAGGCTACAAATGGTGCAAGTTTTCACGTTTTTTTTATTTGGGGTTTTTCATTTTTTGTTACAAAAGCTGACAATTTTTCCTTTCCAGAGCGTGATGTTAAACTCGTGGAAGACTTCCAGCTTTGCGTTGACTTGTATTAAATTGCATTGCACGATGCTCCCATATCATTCCTTCTCTTTTGCCCAAGGTGAAATCACATCGACGGCTGGAGAAACACATGGAACGTGTCAGCTTTCATTATTGTAAATAAAACAGGGCAAAGAGAGGATGTTTCTTAAGTTAGTTTTTTTTGGATTGTAACAGTTCATGTTATTTGAAACAGACTGGGCCAACTTCAATTCCAATTTCTTGATCGTGACCACCAATGTCCAAAGGTGCAATGTCTAGGATGGGTAAACGTGACGGCTTGTTGGTTCTGTATTCCATGACTGTTTTGCCCCATTCACCAGTATGTTTCTGAAAAGAAAAGATAAAAAGTGAATCAGTTATGGATCCTAAATTTTAATTGGGCCATTTACTCCATCTGGGAGCCATTTTTCCTTCAAAAAGGAAAGGAATTACAAACTCATGACTGTTTTGTCCAAAATAGTTTTTGCCTTTTTCCTTTTTCCATCTCTGAGTTAGTTTTTTCCACCCAAAACTTTGTTAGATTAGAGAGACTTAAATCATGTGTCAATGTCTTCTACCTATCAGGAACTCAGTCTGCTCTGAGTTCCCAGATCTGCTCACTTTCTGTGCCCATTATAAGGGAATCCCACTCTCCATGCTAGATTTTTAAATTTATAATATACAGATTGTAACAAGAGGAGCTAGGCAGGGACACCCACAATTTCCAGCTGAACAAGAACAGAGCTGAAGATTACAGAAATAAAAGCGTACTCTTGGAGCATCCAAGATCTTTAAGAAACCTAGAGCTAACTCTAGCAGTAGGCTGACACTTAATAAACCAAACAAGTGTTCCACCAAAGTTTTTCCACTTTGATTATTGGGAACCAATATTGTTTTTCCCCTTGACCTACCGTGCAACCATCTTCAAGGACACTATAAGTGAATCTAGTGTTGCCTTCTGCCCTCAGCTCTACATCGTTGGATGCTTGCAGTATGACGGCCTTCTTCAGGTTTCCAGTCTCTTCATCCATGTAGGCAATGCTGTTCTTGCAGTGGTAGGTGATGTTCTGAGAGGCTTGGTTAGCCAACAGGCGCATGAAGGCGAGTTGAGTGGCCATGTCCTTGGCAGAGACTCCTTCGTCGTGATATTCAAACTGTTGAAGGAAAGAAGAAAGAAATTGGATTGAATATTTGGATAAATGTACACTTAAAACAGTTCACCAAAGCTTTAAAGAATCATAAGCCTTAAACTATTTAGAACTGTTATATTACCAGTAGTTGTCACAGATTTGCTTTGGAATATTTTGGGTAAATAAAAGAGGTTTATAACATTATTAATGTTTTTTTTAGATTCTATTGCTTAGCATCTTCATGTTCCCCAACCTTCATTGGATAGTCAGGCTGTTGCTTCAATCACCTGAGCACCTCCGGCCTTTCCTGACCCAAGGCAAGCATACAGCATACCTCCCAGTATTTTCTTAATAAGGGGACTATTCTGTTTCTCGTAAATAATGGATGGTCACACTATATAAGGACTTTACATCAGTGAGGGCTAAAAAAAAATCAACATGGTGTTGATCATGTATCCTGCCAGAACTTTAACAGATGGCTGCTGAACCAAGTTTTATAGCATATCTGCACCTTACTCTATAGTCTGGTCAAAATAAGGTAGTTTGGAGAATTTTAATTCTCATGATGTACTCTACATACAGTACATGTTACAGATGTCATGTCAACATGTATTTACGCTCTGATTGTAGCAGACTGCAAGCAAAGACTTTAAAACGGAGCATTATTTGGTTCCATGCCTGTACAATGGCTAGAAAAAGGACCCACCTCTGTGCCTCCGTTAATAGTCTCGCCGAACCAGAGGTGCTTCTTCTCCTTGTTTGAGGTGTTGATGTACCAGTTCTTCTGTGGAATTTGGTCTGGGTTGGCGTGAATGCAAGTCTCACCAGAAGAGAAGTCGCAGAAGACTCTGATAGCATCAGAAGTGCAGCCTTGGTTGGGGTCAATCCAGTAGAATCCTAGCAAGGGAATTTAACATGCTTATTTGTTGCAATGAGAACTTTCACCTGACCCATCTCTGATAACTTTACTGTACATCTTAAAAAAAGCTGAGATTTAATCTGAACAGGTTTGCTACTCACCACTTGTCCAGTCGGGGTGGCTGAGTCTTAAGTCACGGCAAGTACGAGCAGGGTTCTTCTTGGAGCCTTCTGGGGTCAGGATGACCTCAATTTGTTGGTTCAGGGATTTCAGAGTGGCATCAACTTCATAATCCTTAGGTTTGCGAGCAGGCTGGTCAGCTCTGTAGAATTCACCGCCATCACCACCATCATATCCACCACCAGATGGACCAGCGTGACCAGGAGGACCAGGGGGACCAGGAGGACCCTAAAATTGTACAAAAAATAGTAAATACAGACTGAAGTTTTAATGTTATATCCACTTTGTGTGTTAAACAAAAAATATAAAATCTAATTAAGACATCCATCTACTTTAACATCATCTTCTTTAGACTCGATGAAAAACAAATGGGGCAATAGTTATAGCAATTACTGTGTTCCTACACAGTCTGTGAACCAGCACATTTTTGTATTGTTTGCCGTAACCAAAGTTTTGGTTTGAAACAGTTTATGACAATCTAATATATATATCTTGAATGAACTAATTTATTGCACTGGAAAGTATCACAACCTAAGTAAAAAAAAAAAAAAGCTACCCATAAGCTTAACTTAAAGGAAACCCCAAATTGACCCCTAAAGCTGGCCATAGATTGGTAGAATTTTGAACAAAAATTTTTAGGAAAAGAATGTTCTAAGAAAGTCAATTATTTTTTCTAGTGGGTCAAATTTATGCTTGTTTTCGACCAAAGTGACAAGAAAAGTGGAAGGAAGAGGATGAAAATTTGTTTCTCGAACAAACAAATTTCTAAGTGTATGTGTTTTTGTCCTTTCGTTACAAAATCAAATATTAAAAGAAAACAAAATCTTTTGAATGGCATTCGAATGTTGAGAAGTTTTGTACGACTTTTCTTAAGACTTTCCTAAGAATGTTCTTGAAATTCTATCCATCTACGGCCAGCTTAAGTCTGATCCATAAACTCAGTGTAACAGCTAAACCTAAATGTAACATTTTTGCCCAGTCCATTAATGTAATCCAAGACTCCTTACACTTCACCCATCCCCTAAACCTGAAGCCTAACTAATGCATTAATATGATGACATCATACTAAAATTTATTTTCGCCATAAAACAACATGCTAAAGAGACAGTTAAAATCGCCACCACATTTTTTTTTTTTTTTTTTGTACTCTAAATGATATTGACTCTTCTAAAAACACCATTTGACCCCTAACTCTGGTTAATTTTTTTTGCTTTTGCAGTTGTAAGACATCAAAATACTTCCCGGTTATTGCATTTTTTAAAAACGGGAAATAATGTGAGAACAGAATTTGGATTTAAGAATCCCCAATACTTGTTCTCTAGAGTTTATACAATTACAATTTCCCACTATGGCTAAAGACTTTTACAAATGATTTAAAGCTGAATCCCAGGCAGATATGACATTTGGAAATTAACACAGCTCTGTATTCATAAATATATTTCTAGTTTTTTTTTTTTTGAAGCGTAAGGACCCAGAAGCAGCCTTTTGCAATCTCATAATGTATACAGCATTATTTAGACTGTGAGAAGATAGGGTGCAACTGGGAACCAATCAGGTGTGCTGCCTTCAATTGTATTGACAAGGAACATGCTGATTGCAGCAGTTAGAGCAGGGGGGATGACTTCTTCAATCTGATTCTGTTATTACACTGTCCAATCAGCTGGCTCAGGGTGGATATAGGACACAACTGTATTTCTTAACTGTGGTTACATTTACCAGGCGGAGCTCTGTAAATCTAATGACTGGATGGACAGAAATACAGATCCTTTAGCAGGTAAAACCGCTCCTATACATGAAATTTCATCTGTGTAAGTCGCTGTTTGCCTGGAGTTCAGCTTTATATTGAATTGTACATAAAATAATTAAGTTCCCTGAAGGAGAACACAAATTAAAAAAGATACTCACAGCGGGACCAGTGAAACCAGCAGGACCACGTGGACCAACGGGACCCATGGCACCAGGATGTCCAGAACGACCCTCTTTGCCTGGAGGACCAGAGGGACCAGAGGGACCCTGGATTTCAAAAAATATTGTGTCATTAATAAAAAAAAAACAACAACTAAATATAAGTCTCTATTGGACATTGTTGATTGAGCATTACATACCCTTGGACCAACGGGACCAATAGAACCAGCGGCACCAGTCTCACCAGGAGTACCCTGAAGGAAAAGAGAAAACATATTAGTGAAATTTGCCTTAGATGTAATAAAATTAATTCCTAGCTTTGAAAGATAGAAATCTCCAATATGACCTAAAGCCAAAACTGTTTTTTGTTAAGATAGAGAGGGGGTGGGGCTAGAGTCTTGTTCAGGTTTTTATCTGTGTCCCTATTGGGGAGATTAAGAGCCCGTTCTCACTTGTGCGACTTGACCTTTCATATCTGTGCGATTTCATGTCGTATCGACTTGAAAGCTGTTCCTGCACTATTTTGGTCCCACTTGAGGGCCATAGACTTCCATGTAAACCCTTCAAAGTCACTTGAAAGTTGCACCGGAATGATATACATATGACTTGTGTGCAACTTTGTAGAGCACAAACAATAATCCTTGGTCAAAGCCAACATCGCATCAAAGTCGCATCAAGTCGCACGGTAAAGTCACAATGAAAACTGCATGATTTTGAAGTCACACAGGTATTACCATCACTTCCTGGCAGAGGGCCAGGCCATGAGGATGCAGACAAAACAAATTACAACAAAATACATCTTTTTAGTGGAGTGGAGTTAGAACTTCTGATAATGTTTTATTGCTGTCTGTGCTTCCTTTCCTGGTGACTAACGCTATCTAAATTCCTTGTGTGGATGTCACAGGGACAGGGAATGAGGGAAAATCTCCCCAATGGAGTGATAGACAGAAATAAAAACTAGACAAAGTCTTTTCAACTCTACCCAAAGCTAAAGGAAAGATTTTTGGACGGAGGTGGTCTTTAAAAATGGCCAAATGGATATGATAAACTTGACACTGCAATATAAATTACAGTTCACGAAAATAATATTTGTTTTTTAAAAACACTGATAAAAAGTAGTAAATAAATTCAATTCTGGAATGTAGCATACTTTGTATTATTGTATTATGATAGAATCACTTGTCTTGGCTAACCCATAAGGTAACCAGAAATGGAAGCTGTGCCTTCAAAAACATTATAGCAAAGGCAGCGACCATATTTCTGTCTGGGCATGGTTCCTGTAATGTCATATAATAAAATATGTGGCAAATAATATAAAGCCATTGAACCTCTTTAATGGAATAAGGAATATTAATTTGGCGCCAAGGAGCATTGTTGGTTTAGAATTTGAATGTCTTCTCTATATTGTTGGGGGCTTGTTTCATTTTCATTGCCAGTCCAGAACTATCCCCTTGGATTGTTCCTAAATTTGCCTTTTTGGAAGAAAGATTTGACTATAATTGAGGAGCACTGTGCTAGAGGAATAGTTTAGAAGAGTTTAAATATTCAGGGATCATCCTTTGGAACCTATTTTCATCAAGAGTAGACTCTGATGAAACACTGCCTAGATACAAATCGTCTTAGAGATTCATGTTACACACAGTATGTCGCTCTACTGAATTTTCAAAGGATTTGATGAGCAGCAAGCGATGTACTCTTACCTAATCTCGTTTATAAATGAAACCTATACAATTGATAAGGAACCATAGACAAGACAGGACGTGGTAGGCTATATGACCAGTTCCATCAGATTTATAGTCCACATTCTAAAAATGGGAATATTGTGCAACAAAATGAAGTAATAAAATAAAGATATAGGTAAAGTTTAACATACTCCTCACAAGTGTGTAAAAATAATATTTATTTGACTCAAGTGGGGAAGAGTCATAGAGGCCTTTTTACTGGTCGTATAGGCAAAACATTATTGAAGTATTTATTTCCCTAGGTATAAAATTGGACGATAGACTTGTGAATTTTGTTATCTCATTTTTGATTTTATAAGTACTTAATTTGCTCTCGAGGTTTCTTTTGTTTTACTAATATGTATAATCATTTATAAATACTTTATTCATTTTACTTACAGCGGGACCAGGAAGACCTGACAGACCGTTGTGTCCTTTGCGACCATCCATACCTCTGCCTCCTCTCTCTCCAGCCTCACCCTTGTCACCACGACCACCTTGTGGACCCTATTACAAGTAAAAGGTGGTTAGATATGGATAATTTTAAAAATACATGGACTCAGTGCAGAGGTCATGCAAATGGTCATCAAGTGGATGATTTTAAGGAGGAATATGATAGTTTAGAAATAGATTGATAATTGGTAGTTAATGTGTAAAGTTTCAACGTTATATTGCATCAGTTTCTTCATTTAACACAAAACATTTATTATATTAACCTTAATAAACTGTAATATGACATGCCTCTTGGTGGGTGGGGATGCCAGCTACTAATTCCCGATGTAGTTTAATATGGTAAAAGGGATCATTTTCCTCTTGGTTTAATTTTGGCCTGGTTTATCAAGCTTCTCCCCGGTTGAAGGCAGTTCTCTTCCTAAGTACTAATGCCTTTCTGAAAGGAATGGAGCTGCATGTGTCTGGCCAGAATCAAACCAGGATTTGGGACAGCCCTCATCAAGTACATGAAGGACCAGCTTCGGCAGGGCCTTAAAGAGTGGGGTTCATCTGGCTTCTTCCTAGGTAAACCATAGAGTGCCCCTCTCAGGAGCCTTGTGCCCCAGGGGGTTGAGGGATTGAGGCCCTTCTTCTTGAAGGTTGGCCCATTGCTGTACCCTAGTACACTTTTTTGTGTGCTGTGATTTCATAGTTCACTTTTTTGTTCACTGGGAATCGGCTTAGCATTGCACTATGGAGCCCATGGTTTAGTCTACAACAACCACGAAAGCCAATCTTCTCTTCCCTCCATTTTCCAATACATGTTCTCAGTCTATAGTTTACAGTAACATCCCTTATTATACTGTATATGCTGGGCGCTCCATACACTAATTTTTTTTTTTTTGCTTTTTAAAGAATTTCCCCAAGGCGTCCTTATTTTAGTTATAGTTGATATTTGGTAGGCTAAATTCTCCTGTGGCAAGATCATCCAGAATGACCACCCATTGTGCAGCCTCAATGTAAAGTCCAAGAGGAAGAGTGAAACAGAAAACAAGCTGCAAAAATTTTGAATGGTAATATATATTAGATACTTACAGAAGGACCTCTAGGACCAGCAGGGCCAGTGGAACCAGTAGAACCAGATGGACCCTAAATAGAGAAAATAAAATGTGATATATAGTGTGAACAAGTTAAAAACTATTGACCAATCAAACAGTTCCACCTATTTGTTATCAGTTGCTGAGCAATCTAACACCCCTGTAATAAATTTAAAAGTAGACTTTGAGCAGTGGTAGAAATATGGCGAATACCCATTTAACCCCTTAAGCAAAACTGTCCTGATTGTGTGGTCTACTATATCACCGATGGCCTACTGAATATCTAAGAACATCAGCTGTAATATAGATTGACTGTAAACTAATGCTTGAGATTTATACCACACTGCAGCTGCAAGGCATTCCTGTATGTTGTGTGATGCATTATAATGCATGTGTGGTTCTGGTTACTGTATATTTACATTGCCATTAAGGAAATGTTGGAGCAATGTAGAAAATTAATGCAAATAGGAGAGATCTCTCACCCAAAAGTAAAACTGGAGATTGGCAAATTTCTATATATGGTAAGGCCAGTACATATGCGTATATATATATATATATATATATATATATATATATATATATATATATATGTAGCTACTTTTTCCAAGACACTTGGACCTGAAAATAATCTACCAGTTTTAAGTGTATGATGAACAAGAATTCTAGTTATTGTTCTGATACAGAAAAAGCAATGATTATACCACTAAACATGAATAAACGTGTACATGTGTAAGTAGATGTATAAATGCAGTCAACTTACAGGCTCACCACGGTTTCCAGATTTACCAGAAGGACCAGCAGCACCAATAGAGCCAGGAGCTCCAGCAAGACCAGAGGGTCCAGTATTGCCAGGGTAACCACGCTCTCCCTAAAAGTAAACATTGAATGTTACTATTGCAATAAGGAGAATAGTTGAAAAAGAATGATATTTAGGTTTGCATGTTACTAGAGCCGCAGAGAGCATTAGGACTCCTCCTGGGTCAATTTGATTATAACTGAGTTGGCAGATGGTAGTTGTCTCAAGAATGGGCTGTTGCATGACCACCAATCATTAGCTGCCTTCAAAAAATTGCAGATGGTATAGAGAATGGTAGTAGAGCAGAAAGGGATCTTGGGTAGAGTAAATGGGACAGCTTTATAGTATTGAAAGAATATTTAAACTGGCAGCTTTCTGGTTGCCTTGATAGTTATTAGGATATGTATTATGGGTTTACATTTTTGATGAAGCCCTCTTCAAATCAGTTACCCAAGAGTATGTCTGAACTTTAAGAACAAAATGTCTGTTGTACCAACGAGACATTTTCTTCCTTTCATTCCTCAGTTCAGCATGTGACACTATAGAACAAGAATATTGAATGCTAATGTCAATATAGAAAATGTTTTGTTTCAAGCTTTTGACGTGCCATGTTATATTTGGTGTGTTAAACTTACCTTAGCGCCTGGAAGACCGTCACGACCAGGAGGACCATCGTTACCAGGGTGACCCTAAAAAGTAAGAAAAATTTTAATTTTAATGGCCAAGGTGAACACGAAGCACCTGGATGTTGTCTGCTATTAGTATATACTTTATTATTTTTACTTTCATAAATGCAATGTTATAATTTTATGGCCTTTTGATTAAACATCTAGAGACAAATTTAGTTCGGTATGAGCATTTTGTAAAATTTTGTTCAGTGTAAGCATTTTGTAGTTTGTGTAACACTCTTTTCTATCTATCCAAAAAAATGGAAAATGAAAATATTATTTTACTGTTATTGGTTGTTATACATGGGTTGTCTATTTATCTTACAGGGCCGTATTAAGTATCTTGAAGACCAGCATAAAAGGTGGTCAGGGCCGTATCTGAAGTTCAAGTAGCCCTGTAAAGTTTTTGAAGTTCATGGAACTTAACTTTCAATGCAAATGTATGGGTAGTCATTTGAAGGAATCATTGGTGCATGGAAACCAGAGCCTAAACATCCACAAGTCAATCTAGGCAGGAGCCTAAGACACTGTTAATTTCCATGGTGTTCAACTACAGTCCTAATGCTCGTGTAGTAAATCAGGTGGTCAAAGCTGTAGTCCTCATTCCCCCTAAATCCACCAATTCTATGGGTGGGCTGTTGCCTTTGAGATGTTGCAGGTAGTATAGGGAGAAGTAATGGAGAAAAAAGAAATCTAGGGTAAAGTAAGTGGAACATCTATAAATTACTGAAATTCTACCTAAGCTGGAAGAATATATACCTAAAAACACTGACCAGGGAACATACAGTATTTATAGTGTAGGCTTCTGAAGAGGTCCTGTCCAGAAAAAAAACCCCTGATATCCAGGGCTTCGAACCGAAAACTTTTTCGTTAACAGACTTGTATATATTTAAAAGAAATATCAATTATAAAAATAATACGTACACAAAACACTGACCTAAGAATTTACGGTTTATCTAGTTTGGCTATAAAATGGGCAATTTTTACATACAGAAAACAGAAGACATTGCTTACAAAGATTATTGATCCACAAATGTTTTTCTAATATTGTCTTTCGCCTCTGTTCCTCTTCTATTTTTATTTACTATTGGTCATTACCAGACTAGATTTTTATAGGTATTTTAAACCTCTGAATTTTAGTTTGTTACTTACATCACGACCAGCCTCTCCGGAATGACCGACGGGACCAGGAGAACCAACAGCGCCAGGGGGACCACGACCTCCGGCAGAACCAGCAAGACCAGCGGGGCCAGCCTCACCCTAAAGAGGATAAAAACTTTGTCTATTATGCATGCATGCATCCAGGGGACTTAGCCTTCTCAACAGTCCAACCTATTAACTTCTGTGTCTACAGAGTAACTTTAGAAAATTTTGTTCTGATATTGATTTTATTCAGGTAATAAGTAAAAAAAAATCTGGGTACTGCCAGTTCTCAAAAAGATTTCCAAGTACCTATGGCAGTTCTCAACGGTTATCCTAAGTTGACTGGTTCCTTTCAGCCCACCATATGCTACCTAGATATACTTAGATATACTTTCTCTTTTTCCTCAAGCCCTACTACAAAGAAACCATGGTAACTGAGCTATATGCAGTTTGGAATAAAAGTCTTTAAAATATTAGACTGTAACTTTGTGGTGAACGAGTGGATTTGGATGTACAGCTGACCCAGAGGCATAAAAGAATGATCTGCATGGCTATCCTGAAATGAGGAACGCTCCTCAACTTGAGATTTGTGAAGGACCCAATACAGACAGAAGACCAAAAAGGTTTACTGTAATGCTCTTAAGGAAAATTACCTTTGTAAAAGAATCACAGCTATAAACAACAGGAACTGATTTTTTTTGTTGTTTTACTATGCTAGTTGATGTTTGTTTCTCAACCTCTACCCTATTATCACAGGTAGAATCCGCTCCTCACAGGACCTCCTACTCTCTAGCTCCCTGGTCTCTTCCTCCCACTCCTGATTGCAGGACTTCTCTAGGACTTCCCCCATCCTCTGGAACTCCCTACCCCAATCCAACAGACTGTCACCTACCCTCCTCACCTTCAGGCGCACCCTGAAAACCCAACTCTTCAGGGAAGCCTACCCCAACCTCACCAAACACCTGACCTTACCTAACAACTAACCTCCTCCACTCCTCCCACCACTCCATCCCCCACAGCCATCTCCTCCTGTACCACTTTTCCCTCCCTCCTAGATTGTAAGCTTGAAAGAGCAGGGCCCTCGAACCCCTCGTGTATTGTATTGTTACTGTCTTGTCTCATGTTCTGTCCCCCTTTCTACTGTACAGTGCTGAGCATACCCTTTGGCACTATATAAATACTGTATAATAATAATAATAATATTAATTTAAATCTTCTGTCTTGTTAGTAGGAAATTAATAAACCCCTGTCAGTTTTAAATTTTTATTTATTTATTTTTTTGCTGCCTTTTTCCCATTGGGAAAATGCTCCCACATTTAATCTTCAACAGTAAGTAAAATTAAATCTCTCCAAAGTGAAATGTTATTATAGTGTCCACAATGGAAGATTCTTGAAGCTGAAAATGTTAAAACTCCCCAATGGGACACTGACAGCATTAAAATTTGACAGGTGTCCTAAATTATCAAAAATGAAATAGATATAGATATAATTTAGGGATATTCACATTGGCAGCTGTGCAGTATTTGTATTGAGGTTGCTGCTGGGTTGATTAGCATGAGGTCACTATTGTGAACCCCTGTGTAGTACACACTAGCATGGTACTGTGTGTTACACACACCTAAATATTGCACATTCTCTTTGTATGGGTTTAGTACAAGCTAAATGTAGTATTCTGCACAATGATGATTGTAATATTGCAATACTAATCTCTAAAGAGCCTTGGGGCAAATGAGATCCAATACAAGCTCCTGCAAGATACTTGCACAACCCTCCCACACACAGGCCCAGTGCCTGGAGAAAAACATATTTTTTGTCTCAACCTGTCAAAAACCGTTGAAAATTGCCATATTAAGAAATGAAAATGACTCAATTTATATTAACTGCAATACCAGACCAAATGAACAATGTAGCTGATGTGGTAATTGAATACCTTCAAGATCCAAGAAGCTTGGTTTGACCAAGTGTTCCTCTTTTACACTAACATATACTGTATATGGCAAAATCTTTTAAACATCTTGCCCTATACTATCAAGTGTGGCCACTTCCTGGTCTACTAACGTCACATAAAGGACAATTATGAAATGTCTGCTGTGGCTTTTAAAATGTAAAGAATGTTAATCAATGCTCTTACGTTTGAACCAGGTCCACCAGGAAGACCACGTTCTCCTCTTGTTCCAGGAAGACCAACAATACCACGAGAACCCAGAACACCAGAGGGACCAGCGGCACCAGGGGGTCCCTATTGGGAAATACAAAATATAAAAAATGTTATTACTTTTGTGATTTTATTTTACTATTATATTTCTACATTGAACAATTTAAAAAATGTATGTAAACTCTAACAAAGAGCTGCCATTATTTGCTCCCCTTTGGCCTTGTAAAGCTAACACTGAATGGGTTTTGTAATGTCTGGTCAATAGGTGCAAAAAATACCTGTTGATCCTGCTAAAAATCCAGTGTTGTCTTGTGTACACTGCCGTGTTATCAAAAAAATTTTTATCAGCTCCCCTAGTTCACCTCTTTGAACCACAGAACACAAGGGGAGTTGTTATATAGTCCTAACATACTTCCTGCCCTAGGTTGATATGCTGCCACTCCATACATTGAGTGAGAGTTGTCACTTCAGGACAGGAAGTGTGTTACTGGAAAGATCACTAGGAGAAAATAAAGGACGAGACAGTTGGATACACTTTAATCGAATCCAGTAAATCAGTGGTTCTCAACTTAAAAAAAGGCATAGGGGTACCTAGAACCATCAGGGCCCTGGTGCAAGAAACCATGAAGGGCCCCCCTGACCACCAGGGCAATTTCCATTGATCCCAGAGCCCTTCCCACTGATCCTGGGGCCCTTTACTCCAGTTGTGGGGCTCTTTAGCTTTCTGCCACTTTGGTCTGATCTGAGTGTCCTAGACACTCTTTTTGCTTTTTTTCACTGCAAGGGTTCCCTTTTAAAAAATTTGGGCTTTTATTTCAGGGATGGTATTATGGGGTTTTCATTTTGAGGGTTTCTTGATTTTTATTCTATTTAAATTTGATACAGCATTTTTTAAGCTTGGGGTGGTTAAAACACAACATTCACTTATTACTGGCCTTCTGTTTTTTGAGCTGCCTTTTGTTTGCAGTATACAATGTTATACTGCAAAAAAAGAAAAGTTAGGCATATAGGGGTTAGACAGTTTATCCCTGATTAAAACTGTCCTGCTGCTGGCCAATTTTATACTTCTGTATCATCTGCGGTTACTTAATTCTTATATTAAAAAACCTGCCTGTGCTCTTGTTTCTAATGCATCTCAGTCAAATATCTCTCATTATAAATATACTGTTGCTGGCTAGGTTTACACTGCTTTATCATCTGTGGTCTCTTTATTCCATAAAGATACAAATTGGTCTGTGGCAGGACAGTTTTCATCAGCGAAACAGGGACAGGCTTCACAAACTACTGGCCGATTTCTATCTGCCAGTCAAACCAGGTCATTTGATGAAAATCAGGTGTTGCTGCTAAAAGTGCCTGAAAAAATGCTTTTTTTCAAACTTAAATTAATCAAAATTGGGGGTGCTAAGCTAATTTTAAAAGAAAATATTAAATTCCTCAGCAAAATATGCCCAAAAAAAGGCCAGAGCTTATTAATAAGATTTGCTTCCCATATACTTCATTGGAATTCACTGCTAAATTCAGGTTCACCAAATTTCAAACAGGATTCACTGAATCTTCAGCGAATAAAATTTTGGCAGATTCGCTCATCCCTATTGGTTAACTGAGACGATCTCCTTTTGTTTTAACAGCGACAATTAAATGTAATGGCACCATTACTTACAGCAGGGCCAGCTTCTCCAGATGGGCCTTTATCTCCAGCAAGACCTGAGGGGCCATGCTGACCTTGTTCACCGGGACGACCAATAGGACCAGAATCACCACGACCACCTCTTGGGCCATCTTTGCCAGGCTGTCCAGTTGGGCCAGAAGGACCAAGAGAGCCCTGTAAGACAAGCGTAAGTGAAACATATCAACAATATATAACAGAGTTAATAAACTTTTGTGAAAGTGAATTTTAAGACTTATGCAGGCCATAGATGGGGGAGAAAAACGGCCGATTTTTCGTCCGAAAATAAAACCGGCCGATTATCTTATCGTTAGTGGACGATTTTGTCGGCCGTTTTTCGTGTATTTTGGACTTTCAGATTATCGGTGATGTTGGAAAATTTTCGAAAAACGCCCGACTTTATCCTCATTGATGGTCAAAAACGAACGATCGTTTTCCGAAAAAGGATCACAAAGGCCACAAAATGACATCATTTCCCATTATAGGTTACTCATTAATCGGCGTTTTTGATTTTCGTAATAATTGGTGGTCAGGTAAGTTTTTTTAGACCGACCGATAGTTCGTTAATCGGCCGAAAATCTGCCGTTTTTCTCCCCATCTATGGCCTGCATTATTCAAAGGAAACATTTCATCTTAATTGCAAAAAGGTAACTGAGCTATGTTTGTCTGAATAAACTAGCTGCAGACAACTGATTTAACTATCTTAAAATGGTTTTGATTTAGCCACATTGTGGATGTGCTTACTAGTATTCTTTTTATACTTTTATATTTAAATGAATTTGTATTCAAAATGACTAACAGTGAGCTTCCTGGACAAAGGTCTATGATACCCAGTGCAGAAAATTCGATTCCCACACTCTATTCACTGCAGCATTTGAGCTTTAAATGTATATCTGATCATTGAGACCTTCATTCCCTCAGACATTTTAGCAAATAAAACCCACTATTTTTTCTGTATTGTCTGTCAAAGAGTTTCCAGAATACTATACTGTATGGTTATGTTAAAGTGTATATAAAACCAAAACTTGTTTTGGATAGATTAGGGAAGGATAGAATAAACCCTGGCAGTTTATTTTTGGTATTTTGGGGAAATAACGCTTCAATTCCGATCCTAGAGGAAAACTAGTCAAATGAGGGAAAAATTGTTTCAAGTGTCACCATTTGGAAAATATCCTCTCTTGTTCTGAGACATCTCTAACATTTTGGATTAATCCTCATCTTCTTTCTCGGTAACAACAGCCACCTATTCAAACACAATGGTGAATCTCCCCGAGGTGACTCAAAAACGTCACGGAGGGTTCAACCTTTCCCTACTCTATAACCTAGAAATACACTTGCAACTGTAGCCCAACTGTAGCCCAAATTGGTTTGTAGGAGCATCAGTTGGGTGCTTTATTGCTACCTGCATTCTTGCTTTGGTTAATTTACCCAGAGAGTGAGAGTGAATCTTCTCAAGAGGGGAACAACAAAAACCAAAGAGGTTTTCCTTCCAAATTGGTTTGTAGGAGCATCAGTTGGGTGCTTTATTGCTACCTGCATTCTTGCTTTGGTTAATTTACCCAGAGAGTGAGAGTGAATCTTCTCAAGAGGGGAACAACAAAAACCAAAGAGGTTTTCCTTCCACGCCATCCAAACCAAAAAATAAAATGATTGATTGATGGAATAGATCCAGTAGATATCTTAGGTCCCCCCTCCCCCAACCTCCATCATGGCTATGTAACAAATAAATAAACACTGCCCACTATTACCATAAAAGCAGTATTGCAAATATGAACCAGCAAAAGATTTATGCGAATGTCTCCCAAATGTTGTTTGACATTTTATCGCGATCAAGAACTTTGAAGGTGGGAGTTCTATAATGCTAAAAATTCAGATTTTTCATTGTCAATCTTCTTCATTCTCATGTTTCCTAAGGCACACCCTTACACGGACTGTCTGAGTACATTCTGACGTATAGGATAGGTATATGATTGCGTCTGATTTTCAGTTGGGGAGTCTTTTTTCCCCTCTTTTATGTCTCCTATACTCTCCCCCACTTTAAAGTGTGTGCTATATATAATGGAAATAATATAAGATGTGTAACAGGGATATACAGCATCAGGGAGGAATCCAATGACTTCATGATGCTAATTTTAGTGACAACATTTACAAAGAAACAAGATTCACATTTTACATATTGGGGTTGGGGGGGACATTCAAGATAGGACATTACTATAACCAACATTGTGTCCCTCAATTTATATTCCATTTTCAGTCATTGTACTAAAAACAGCCTCCGGCAACAGAATATTATAGATGAAAGTGCACTTACAGCGGGTCCAGGAGTTCCTACTCTACCAGCGGGACCAGGGAATCCAGTAGCACCCTATTGATAAAAAAAAAATTATTCTCAAGATTTCTAATTTAGCAAACTATGCCTTGCTTCTTAAAACCACCAACTTGAGTGACTTACAGAGGGACCGCCATCACCACGAGCTCCAGTGCTTCCAGCAGGACCATTTGCACCCTATATAGAAATAAAAAAAAGCAAAATATTAAGGACAGAACTATTTAATCATGGCAATATACAACTTTGGTTAAAGACCTAATCCTATGGGTTTGGGTCAGTAAGTTTCTTGAACTCCACCAATGACTGCATCGTTCAAAGTAACATTGAACACTGTTATTAGTATTTCTCAACTTTGTTATGTTATTTATACCTTGGTGTATGCCTATTTATATGAAGAACCACTAAATCATGTGTATTTGTTACCAGTATCCCCCAGTGAAAAAGGTAAATTGTCTGTGACTGCTTGTTTTTTAAATAGCTAAAATAAACCAACTATAGTGCCTTTGTAAAAATTTTTTTTTTTCTAAAATCTGAATCTGTTCTAAGTCAGGAGGCAAAAGTAATATCTTTTGCATTGTTAAGATGTATCCCTAATGATATACATAAAGTTTCAGTCTAATCTACACAAGACTCTGAACGTATGGTAATAAAATTGGGTAATTATCACTGTCGGTAAAAAAATTGCATTTTAGATCCTACCTAACCCACAAGCCCATAAAGGCCAGAATATGCCTGTGTCCACTCTAGTCCTACCATTTCTGAGCTATTCTGGAACATCAAACAGTTGTTTGCAACAACCTACTCTAAGCCTCAGCTAAGTCATTCATGGCAGTCCTGCAGATATTTGAAAATTAAATATTAGAATTCCAGTTTATTGGTGCCTCTGTATTAAGGAGTATGGTAGATATTTTAAATTTAATCATAGATTTCATAACTTACAGCTGGGCCAGCACTGCCATGGGCACCGAGGGGACCAGGGGAACCAGATTCTCCTTTGGGACCTTTGGGTCCTCTCTCTCCTTTAGCTCCAGCATGACCAGCTGCACCCTGTTGAGGTAATGGAAAAAGGCTGATTACAATGATTTCCTTAGGAAAGCAAAAAGGAGCCTACAATTCAATAAAAAACAAAACAGTTACTTACAGGAGGACCAGCAAAGCCAGTTGTACCAGCGGGACCGGCCTCACCACGTTCACCCTACACAAAAAAATAATGATATTTCAAAGTGTATCAAACACCTATAAAAAAAAAATTTTAGGACCTGAACCAAAATGTGGCATAATGTGGAACTATCAACATCTCTGATAAGCCTGGTAATATTTATTGATTCACAGTCAGTTAATGGGCTGCTTTCTCCAAGTACTGATTCAGCTCCATTGTTTGAAATTAAAGCTGTTACTTTTAGGCTACATATATTAATGTAACTTCATGTTTTTCACTTACTGGGGTACCACGAGGACCAGCAACACCAGAGGGACCAGCAGGACCAGATTCACCCTAAAATTCAAAATAGATACAAGGGTAAGAGTAATTGTCTTGTCTTTAACAAACATTTACAAAATGGAGGCTTCAATGTACAGCTAAGAATTGTACTTACTCTATCACCAGGACCACCAGCAGGACCGGGGGCACCAGCAGCACCAGCTGGACCCTGAATAAAACAAATTAAAATATTAAAATGGTGTCAACATGGATACTATAGCCTTGTCTTTTTTTTAGATATGTAAACAGTCAGACTATGTTCAGGACCTCCTCTTCCCATTTATCAGGCACTCCTCTTCCAAACCTGTAGGACTACCTCTTTCCATCTTCCAGGCACACCCCTTCCCAGCCAGTGGACCACCTCGTCCTAAGTACCAGCCATGCCTCTAACCAATCCCAGTCTCTTGGATCACATCATCCCATTTACCAGGCTTTTTTTTAAAACCACCTATTCCTAGCTAACAGGACTGCCACTCCCAACCAATATGTCCACCTCTTCCTAGACAATAGAGTTATTTCTTCCCATGTTCCAGACACACCTCTTCCCAGCCAATAGGACCTAATTGTCCTATCTACAAATTACATCTCTTTCCAGCCAATAGGAACAAATTGTCGCATCTGCCAGTTACACCTCTTCCCACCCAATAGGACCGAATTGTCCCATCTACCAATTATGCCTCTTCCCAGCCAGTAGGACCACCTTTTCCCATCTACCTGATACACCTCTTCCCAGACAGTAGGACCAAATTTTCCCATCCGCCAACTTCACCTCTTCCCACCCAATAGGATCAAATTGTCCCATCTGCCATTTACACCTCTTCCCACCCTACAGGACTAAATTGTCCCATCTACCAGTTATGCCTCTTCCCAGCCAGTAGGACCACATTTTCCCATCTACCTGATACACCTCTTCCCAGACAATAGGATCAAATTTTCCCATCTACCAATTTCACCTCTTCCCATCCAATAGGATCAAATTGTCCCATCTGCCATTTACACCTCTTTCCACCCTACAGTACCAAATTGTCCCATCTACCAATTATGCCTCTTCCCAGACAGTAGGACCACCTTTTCCCATCTACCTGATATACCTCTTCCCAGACAATAGCACCTCCTCTTTCCATCTACATACCAGGCACACCACTTCTCAGCCAGGAACACTTCATCGCATCCACAAAGGGGTTCTCTACTCATACAATAAGGTAACTTTTTCTTATAATTTAAACAGTCTTCCATCTACCCATTAGAACCACCTCCTCCCATGTAGCTGTGCAGATTCAATAGTGCTGCCTCTTTCCATTGGCTAGGCTTTAATTCAGTGGGACCAAATATTCATATCCACAGGACATGATTCCCCCCATCTAATAAGACCACTGTTTCCCATGTTATCATATCCCTTACTAGCAAATTCAGTCATCCAGTAAGGCCACCACATTAGGCACTCCTGTACCTATTCAATAGGGCATCCTCATCCTATTCATTTGGGACTTCTCTTCCCATTTAAAAGGGATGAGACATTCCCCAGTTCATTTAAGCCTCCCTCTACCCATTCTAGGTCTTTTCTCTTTAGACTTTGGGAGTTAGACTAACACTGGAGAGTGCAAAAGCTGGTGCTGCTCTGCAAAGAAACCAAGCCGCTTCCAGCTGCCTGTCACAGAGCAGGAAAATATATATATATATATATATATATATATATATATATATATATATACAGTATATAAGTAGAGCCCTAGGCAAAGCAAAGTGCTAAGCAAAGGCCTTCTGTGTCTAATGCTGAATACCAAATAAAATGTACTCACACGAGCGCCATCTCTTCCTGAGTTGCCGTATTCTCCAGCACCTCCAGCATCACCCTGTAGAGTAAGAATAAACACTAAAGAAATTGTAGTTATAATTGCAATGTTTTTTTCTGTATATTCTCTGAGCTAACTGGGTTTTTATAGGATATTCTGTGTCTTAACGGTGTGTTGGGGGGGGGGGGATATATTGGGGAATGTTGGGGGTGTCATGTTTAAGGGAAAGTAATAACCAAAATTAGCATTTGTTGGTACTTGGTGGTACTTATCTTCTCTTATTTTACCTTCTCTCCTTTGCCTCCAGGACCTCCAGCAGTACCTCTTTCTCCAGGAATACCAACAGGGCCAGAAGGTCCAAGGCCTCCATTCAAACCAGCAACACCGGGCTCTCCCTAGGTATGAGGAGAATAAAGGTTGTTTTAATGAGTATTTCCATCGTTTGATAATATGCAGTGACAGTTACCCACATTCCACTTTCCTTAACCATTAACTTTAAAAACATCCTATTCTTGGTCCCTGAACAGCAAAGTCATGTTAATTAATGCTGTAAATAAGTAACTTCCAAACATTTAGGCCGCATACCATGTCCCCTCCCAGGAAGTAACTTTATTTAGCCAACAAGGTGCTCTCACAGCAGCTGTAGGAGCAGCCTGTTGGCTAAATAAAGTTACTTTTTTGAAGACAGATTACCTTTTTTTGGGTGCTTCTAAAAACTTTAACTGGTTGCACGGCATCTGAAAGCATTGCACCAATAGAGTTGGTGCTTGTGGTCATTAGGAGCGTAGGACAATGCATTTTTATTGTGACTCTGCATGCAGAGTTATGCAAACTGCACCTTCACCTCTACTCGGCGTATGAATACTACAGTTCTTATCGTTCGGGCAAGTCCTGTTGGCTAGCTACCGTGTTCTGTGGCTTATTATCAATTGTTCAATTCATCATCCTTGCCTTATAGATAATGTTCAGAACTGAACAGTTGATAATAAGCCACAGGAAAGAGCAGGAGACCAAAAGGCTTTGTCAGGACTTCTTGGCCACCTGCCCAAGGCCCAAGTAGAAGACCAGGACAAGGGACAGGTAGATGAAGATAAAAAAAATCCAAACCAAGTGACAACCAGGGGCAACAGATCAGAAGTGGATAACAGAGACAAAGCTAGAGACTAACAGTCATTAAAAGGGGTGAAGATCAGAAAAAAGTTTCTAGAGAGTATCTTGAGTCATAAGCAGGAGCAACAGATCAGGATAATTGCAGGAAGACTTGTTAGGGTGTTGACAAGTAGCAACGACAAGTTTAGTAGAAATTCCTGGTGTAGATAGGAAGAAGTCAGAATGAGGGAAAGGTGAGAGAATTATCTGCTGATTAAACTACACCTGTAATGCTTATGACTTTTATTTATCAAAAATTACATTTCAAAGCACATATTTTAATTTTCTTACACCACAACAACCAAAGTACCTTTTGTCCATCAGTTCCAGGAGCTCCAGATGGGCCACGGGCTCCCAAAGGTCCAAGAGGGCCAGCAGCACCGCTTTCACCAGGGGCACCACGTTCACCCTGCGTTGAGATAAATAAAATTAGGTGGAACACATTTTTTAACACCCCAGTTTGTCAACTATATAATCATACCATCTTTTAAAGCCTTCTGTAGCAAATTAATACTTACTCTTGGGCCAGCAGTACCAGGAGGACCAAAGTCACCAGGAGCACCCTATAAAAAAAACACACAAGAGGAGTTATTGGCTGCCCAGATTTCAATTATGAACCAATGAACTGCAGTAAGAAAATTTAATAGACCTTTTAGGTCATCCTGAGCTAATCCTCAGCTGCTTAAGTAACAATTAGTGAATTTCAAACACCTTATTTAATACTCCAAGTATGATAACATGTTTTCTCAATGTAGTGGTAAGTTTAGAAATGTTTCTATTGCATAGTAAAGCTCACTAATGGAAAAGAAACAAAATGACTGTAAAATCATTATTTTTCAGCAACTGGCAAGATTGAACATCAATTTTGCCCTTCATTATTGAATTTGCATGTCTGCCAACAGTATGAAAGGTAAACTCCTGATGTTTTAATCCCTAACCTCAGCCTCCCAAAACTCCACATATGTGGACAAAAGATCAAGCCTATTTTGCAAAGTACTGCCCCATGTAAAATGTATTGACACCTTCAATTTGCTTAAAGTAATTAGATGATATCTATGCTCACCAAACAATCTTTCGTACAGAGATCTTTCTATGATTGTACACATTTTCATTGGGTGAAATTGTATTTATGATAAAGGAGGAGAAAAGTGGGAGTGCCATGGGTGCCTCTGAAGAAGCAAAGGCAATTGGTTTGAGAAACTCATCCGAAATAATCAACCTTCATGCTCTGCTAAAGGAGTATCATCCAGGACTGTAGAGGGCCTACAAACTTCTGAATGTTCCCCCATCCAACCAGATCACACAGTCTGCCACAGATAGACTATTATTCTGCTAAGATATGCATCTTACTAGGGACTCAACTGTTCACACACATACACATGCTTGTAGAATGCAAAAGGCTATATCTATATGCTACTGTAGTATAAAATAGATAATTTGGTTATATTGTGTACAGACATTAGAGTGCAATTATATATGGCACGTCTTAATGACTGATATACTGAATTATATATTATATTATATATTATTATATATTATATTATATATATATTATATATATTATATATATTATATATTAATATATATTTATTAATTATTATTATTATATATATATATATATATATATATATATATATACAAAATTAATATATTATATATATTATATTATATTATATTATATATTATTACTACCTGCAGGAAAGTTAAATGATTAATACTCTTGAATTTGCAGCAAAGGGATTGTGGGTTTTTCCCACTTGGTCCCTATCTGCGTTTAATTTGCATCATTTCATGATGCTAGGTTAAAGTTCCCTGCAGGTTCAATGGCCCCCACCAACAACCCAAAAACATTCTAATAGGTTATTAGTTTCCACCCAAGTTGGCCCTATTATATATGCACATTGGTGACTTTTTACAAATAAAATCATTTAAAAAAGCGGACTTACTCTTTCACCGGGTTTGCCAACTTCTCCAGGAGGACCACCAGGACCAGGCAGACCCTGCAAAGAGGAAGAAAGTGTTAGAGATTAAAGGTAATATGACAGAATACATTATTTATGCTTGATAAGTATATTTCATGTTCAAGTGTAAGTTTCAGAAAATAATTAAAAATGTGTCAAAAATAACCAGTTAATTACTATCACAAAAATCCTCAAAAAACAGTAGCCATTTAGGATTTTTTGTGACACAAAAGGACCCACTGCATAATTCCTCCATTAAAATTTACTTTATACGTTTATCACAGATGGCAAATGCCTATTTTTTGTGATTGGTGTAGTTCAGAACAGTGTTTCTTAACATAATTGTTAATACTTCAACTTGTCGACTGTATAGATGTGTTGCCAGCACCTTAATTTAATGTGTATTCATGTTTTCCAAGTAATGCGTTCCAAGTAATGTGAATTTCCTTTCATTGTGCAAGAAGATTAGAGAAAAACCCACCTGGAAACCTGGAGCACCAGAGGGACCTTGTTCACCTCTCTCACCTGTAGGACCCTGTAGGACAAACACAAAAAATATATATTTGTTAGATTCTTTTTTGTTGTCAGGGTTTGTACTCTTTTAAAGTATTTCTGCTGTTTTGCATAAAGATTATCTAGACTACAGGAAACCACTTCATTTTGCCAGCCATTATTCCAGCTTGTGTGGATGAACATTCCTTCGAGAACACGTGATATCAACGACCTTAAAAAAAAATGTCTCGGACCAATCACTACCTCCTAATGGATTAAATTTTTCCCAAAGAAAATGTGTTCAGTATATAAGTTCCATTCAGAGAAGACAGACAATGGAGAGCCAATACTTACACCAAGGCCAATGGGACCTTGAGCACCATTGTTTCCGTCAGGTCCAGGAGCTCCCTGAAGAAAAAGATTGAAAAAGTAAGTTATTGTTGACAAGCATAGTTTAGTGTGTGCTCTAAGGATATTAGAAAGATATTGGCCGTCACATAAGGGAGTAACACATGTTGCAAATGGGATTTGGGGATACAATGATCCTATTAGAACAAAAGAAGGGTCATAGGAGTAGACCTCCACTGCTGTGAAGAGCAGAGATATCACCTGATGTAGACAACATTTTTTTACATCTACCAATCTATGTGAAGCCAACTATGAAGCTCAACTCTTTGTGGTATATGAGCTATGGTGGGCACAGGGGGACATGCTGTGGCAATATGCACTGGGGTCAACGGCAGGAAATAGTACAGCATATAGCAATACATATAAATCAGTAAATGTTAGATATCAAATTTTTTTTATGTATTATATTGTGATGTTGACGTTTCTTGGGGTGATATCTTTTGTTAGAGTGCTGTGATTGTAATTATTCCTGCTTGTGCCCATAGCATGTACTTCCATTCCTTACCTACCATTATTGTAGCAAAATAGTCTTTTTTTGAGCATAAAACCTATATAGATCATACAGCTATAAGAATCTATTATCTCCTTAAAAATAACACTTTAGGGCTGATTCGGCAAGGACTATGGTCTTGGCACTGGTTTCTAATTCTGCCAACCCTTCACTGTTTGTGAATATTGTTATTATACCTTTTGATTTAAGATAATAAGCTTCAGATCTATGGGCAGCACAGTGCCTAAACGGTTAGCACTTCCGCCTGGCAGTACTAGGGTCGTTGGTTCAAATCTCAACCACGGCACCCCCTGCCTGGAGTTTGTATGTTCTCCCGGTTTCCTCCCACACTCCAAAGACATGCTGGTAGGTTAATTGGCTCCTGTCTAATTTGGCCCTAGTATGTGTATGTATGAATGTGAGTTAGGGATCTTAGATTGTACGTCCCTTGAGGGTTAGGGACTGATGTGAATGTACAATAAATATGTAAAGCGCTGAGCAAACTGTTGGCGCTATATAAATCCTGTATAATAATAATAATAAAGCGCTTCGTAAATTGACGGTGCTATATAAGTACCTGAAATAAATAAAATAAATAAATATCTTAACTTCTGCAAAGGTGCATGTCAAGATGTGCATTGAAGTCTATTCAATTTACAGCAAATTGGCTAAGCGTTTTGATATTAAAGAGCAGTGGATATTACACTTACCCTGTTTCCAGAGGGTCCTTGGCTTCCCTTATCTCCGTTCTTGCCAGGCTCACCCTATAAACAATATAGAAACAGTTTCAAACCTGTAGTTTGCAATGTAAGCTACAAAGTTTTTTTTTTTTTAATTGTAAACTGGGGGGTTCCACTTACATTGGGACCTTTGGGTCCAGGGAATCCAATAGCACCAGGTTCACCTCTAGCACCAGCAGGACCAGCTGGACCAGAACGACCCTCAATACCTTGGGGACCCTTAAAGATAAAAAGGATCATTTAGTTTTGTTTTGTGCATTTCTTCCAGATCTGTGCAGTATTCCAGTGTGAGACTTTCCCTCTGTGCAGGAGCTTCCTGTAATAAAGACCGCTTACTGCTACTGTCTTTCCTTGTTCAGGGTGACTGGTCTTGTCTCCGCCCCCTCCTGTAGTTTACTATAGTAGGTGGAGCTCTGCTCTCTACACGGACTATGTGCAGCACACTAATGATGTCACTGATATTTTTACAAGGTAATATCTGATGTTTACAACATCATTTGGTGCAAACAAAAAATATTCATATCCTCTGTAGCTATTGCAGAATATAATTAAAGGCTTTGTTGCTTCAGCTTCAACATGTTTGTGCAGAAATTTGGCAATAAGTATGGGTGTCTTAACTGATGATGGAAGCTGTAGCCATGGTAGCATGACCTTCCAACTGATCTGAAGATAGTCACTGTCTAATGGACATTTCTCTTTTTCCAGCCTAGAGAACTATGTTATTGTGGGGTCTGATGAAGAATCCGATGCTTCGAAACGCATTACCGCCCCCTTCTTGTGGCACTACGCTCACGTGGTGACGTCACATCCGCCCGGCAGCCATCTGCATTCCAGCTTGGTTTCTCTAACACAGCCACAGCTGCTGGATGCTGGATGCGAAAGGTGTGAATCAGGAGACCTGGCTCCCCTAGCAGCTTTGGCCCCTAGATGTCCATCCACTCTCTCCATCAGCCTTTGGGATTTCTACCAGGACGACGTCTACTCTGAGACACATGCCTTTATCCACTACTATCTAGTGAGTTACCTTTTAATACTGCACTTAGTCTGGCACCCCTCTCTTCTTTTCTGTTATTGTGATATACCTTACAATAAAAATGTCAGAAACTTACAGCAAGACCTTCTTTGCCTTGGGGACCAGTGCTGCCAGAGAAACCGGGAAGACCCTAAATGGAAAGGATTAAAACACATGATTAAACATGAAAGGATAAGAAAATGATATATAACATGAATGCATTTATCAGAAACTGTTTTACTTCTTGATCAAAAAGCATGAATCATGCATACACATTTTGGCAAATGCCCTACTTATTGAATTATATGATAATTTATGTAGGATAATGGATAGAAATAGCCAGTTTGCTGTTTAAAAGAAACTTAAATTTGATTATAATTTTGAGAAATGAAATGTGAATGTGGTATTGATAAGCCTGGTCAGTATCTAATTTTATAAAAAAAAAGTATGGTCTGTTCATAAAACATTTGTTAAAAAAAATTAGAACCATTGATGCAAGCTGAACTAAATATTCCTGTATGTTCCTGAATAGATTAACTCTGGTATCATCAGCCCCCTCTAGTGGCCACCATGCTGTATAATGTTCTGAAATACCAAATGAGAAAATATGCCACATTTTAGCCACTAGGTGGAGCTAATGATACAGAAGTTACTCTATTCGAAAATATAGGGCGATATTTAGTTCAGTTTGTACAAATGTTTCTGACATTCATGCAATGAATGTTTTATAAATTGCCGACCTTGATTCTACAGTTCTATAATAAATATCTTCATAGGAGCAGCCATGATTGCAGTTCCTACTTAGTAATACATTACAATGATTGTGCTTTACCAATCCTTTCAGTGTAAATCTATGGGTGGGGCTGTGTGTAAAACGACTTATACTGTCACAAGGGTATATTTATCAACCAATAAAGCTGGCATTCACCAAGGACTCACGGGTTTATAGGTTTTATTAGGCATGAATTGATTCACCACTAGTGAATGTTAGGAAATCACACTGACTGTTTTAAAAATATGTTACAGTAATATTCTATTAATTGTTAGACATGTGCATTTCATTACGGTTCGTTTTTTTTCCGTTGAACATTTTATTTTTGGAGGTTCAGGTGTGTACGAATCTCCGAATGGACATGGTAACAAATGTCAATGAATCCGAAAAAAAAAAATGATAACAAAATTAATGAATGAATTTGTTTCATTCGTATGATGTGATAGTAGTTCAGGCCCATGAGGAATTTGTTCGATAATTCAGATTCGTATTGATCTGAATTTTGTTCCATTGGTCAATTGAGATGCACATGACGCCAGCCAATACTATCCAGTTAGCTCATGCCATTTCTCTTGGTGGGTTGGACTAGCGTCCAAAAATATTGAATACTTCTGATTTGGATCTGCCTGATTCGATAGTATATCAAATATATAACAATCTTCTGGAAAAACTGCAACATTTTTCTAATCCACACAGACCAATGGATATATGAAACGAATGCTGAAGATGTCTTTTTTCAGCCAGACTAACTATGAAATTAATTTCGAAAAAGAATCAGCTCAACATAACGAATATGACGAAGCAAAATTCTTCCATGAACGAACGCATCCGAAATGAAATGCAAATTTCCAGCGTGCACATGTTCTACAACAGCACTAGGGATGCTGACTGTCTTGACTGATATACATATAGCCACTAGAGGAAGCACCTACATATTTGTATGTTAAATATATGTATATTGTAAAGTGCTGAGCACACTGTTGGCGCTATATAAATCCTGTATATAATAATAATAATAATAATATATTTAAAAAAGCTATGTCAAGCCATAAACTGTTTTTCTAGCTTTGCATAGAGTGAGGAAGGATTAGAGAACCCTTCCGGTTTTTTAATTCGAACACTGAGTTCTGTTTGAGAGATTTATTGCCACTTCCTATCCTGCCCACAACTGCTTCACAAGACAGGAACTGAAGGAAAATTTGCAACAGGGACACAGGCAGAAATAAATAACCCACAGGGGTTCTAGCCTTCTCCTAATCTACTAAAGAAAAATATTTTAATTTCTGTCTGTGTCTCTTTTGCAGATTTTCCTTCACTTCTTGTCTGGAGAATCTGTTGTCACCATGGCAGGAGGCGAGGGGAAATTTCTCTAACAGAGCCCTGAATAGCAGTAAACGCCAAACACTCCAAAACTCAAAAAAAAAAAAGGTAAAAAAGTTTGGGCTTTGCATACACTTTAAGAAAAAAAGCCAATAGCAACAGACACAGTAAAAATGTCAAAAACTAAAATAAAATAAAAAAAAAAGTTACAATACACTTTACCTCCAAATAATTACTGACTAGGGAAAATATGTGATAGGTGAGTATGAAGAGGATGGCGTGAAGAGGTATGAAGGATTTTCTTAGTATCAATCAATTTACAAAAGGAGATTGACTTACTCTTGCACCGAGAAGACCAGGCTCTCCAGGGCGTCCAGCATCTCCATTAGGACCTCTGGCACCAGGAGAACCAGAAGCACCACGGTTACCAGCGGGGCCCTAAAATATATACAATAAATGATTACAAATATGTATCTATTATTTATTATTCCTGACTAGCCCAAATACCCTTCACCCAACTTACTAATCCACCAGCTCTACCATCAGGTCCAGGCAGACCACGAGTTCCGGGAACACCCTAAAGTACACAAAAACAGACACTATTAATGGAGAACGATTTTTATAAAATCAATTCTTATTCTACTAAACAATGAATATAGTCTCTCTTACAGGGATTGAAAGTAAACCTGACATGTTTCAGTCACAGGTGTAATCTTAAAAGTGTTAATCGTATTTAAAGGGTCAGTCGACACTTGGCAAATTACTTTGGAGATACTTGGTGGACACTTTGGTAGTGACTGGAGGATAAATCATCTGACAGTCTCTTCGATCTCTTGGGAACTCTATTGGTGATATCTCTGCAGTTCCTCAGTCTGCACACCCATTATGAGGGTCCCCACCATCCCTATTGGACTTGCAAGGGTAAATGTGTTTGTACACCAACCTCTCGGACACAAAGAAATAAACTGCTTTACAGGATAAGAATATATGAAAGCCAAGTTCAAGCCCAATGACATTCATTCGATCATCCATACTGGTGTCTTGTGCTTAATTCAGCAGTGCCACTTCTTGAAGACTTTTAATGCTTTTATGTTTTAAAGCAACAGATGCTGTATCTCATATACAGGACTGTTTGCCTAAATGGATATTAGGGGAGGACAGTGCTGAGGCCGAGGGAATTTGACCTCGGGGCAAGTACTAACAAGATATATTCCTAGATTGTAAGCTCCGAGGAGTAGGGCTCTCCTATCCCTCTTGTATTGAACTGTATTGTTTCTGTATTGTCTCCTGTTAGATTGTAAAGCGCTGAGCAAGCTGTTGGTGCTATATAAATCCTGTATAATAATTAGACTTGTGGTCCTGAGTGAAGATACTTCATGATTCAGACACTGATCAGTGTGGGGTAAGCAGTCATTGACACATGTTGGTCATTACATAGCTTTTTGCTTCTCGTTAAGACCTGCAATTGCAGATTGTGACAGATGGAACTTTTCTAGCACTGACTTACTTTGTGGCTCTGAGATCCCACGAGTCTAAGATGTGTCACTGTAAGCTAGTGGCCCACAAACCACAGTTTGCCTGCATTTACCTAGCCCTTGGGGCACAATTTCTCTCACTGACACCAATAATGGGGTATAATTTCTGATGACACCGGAGCACAAATACTTCCACTGATACCATTGATGGGGTGCTTTTTATCCCACTAACACCCACGATGGGGCACTGTTGCATCCTCTGACATAAATGATAGGGCACAATTCCTCCCAATAACACCAATGCTGGGCCGTAATTTCTCCAACTGATGCCAACAACGGGAAGTAATTCTTCTGACAATGGTTGAGGCACTATTCCTTCCACTGACCCCAACAAAGGGACTTTATTCCTGTCAATGACATCAATGATGGGTCACTATTTCTCCCACTGCTTTCAGCAACAGGGCACTAATCCTTGCACTGACACCAATAAAGGGGCATTATTTCTCCCTCCACTGACAACAGGTGCTTGGTCAGTATGATCTTTCTCAAGTCTTAAGGACAGTGAAATGAAGCTTTATGGCACTCTTTAATTGGATATGAGCAGGTCAACTAAAACTGTTTGGAAAATATTCTTCTTTATAATTCCATATTTGAAAAAAAACCCTGATGAATAAAATAAAAACATTATTGTCGCAGTTGACATATGATGCATCATACGTACTCTAATTCCAGCACTGCCAGAAGGACCAGAAGATCCAGCCTCTCCATTGGGACCTCTCTTTCCTTCCTCACCAGAAGGACCCAGCGGGACCATTTTGACCAATGGCACCCTTAAAAACAAAAACAGCATGTGGTGAGCCTCGAAGCAAACTATGGGTCAAAAATGAGTTTTAAACATTGGTCGATTATACTTACAGGTTCTCCTTTGGCTCCAGTGTCTCCTTTGCCACCAGAAACTCCAGGGTCACCCTAAAGGAAAAAGTCTGTGATTAATGTGATTATATTAATCTTGGGATACTTTATTTATACAATGTTGTTTTCCAACAATATAAAATTGGCAAACCTACCACTTGGAAAAGTATATCACTATACAACAAATAACGTTGTATAGTGATATAGTGATATAAAGGTTGGCTTTGGTGGCCATCTTTACTCAACCTTATTAACAATGTAAAAGAAATTAGACAATAGGAAGCTATTTGTTGTAAGTGAGCTTGAATTTGTCATCACAATACATTGTTATTCTAAAGTCAACCTAAGATCAGTATTACTGAATTTTTGCTAACGTGCGAGACATGACATGATGATTGCAGTGTTTCCATTGCCATACTCTAAGAAGGAATGCAGAAGCAAAACTTTGCTGCCTAACACACAGAAAATATGTTATTGGTGAGTAACAGGACCCAAATTACAAGAGTAAAAGTTAGTAGTGGAAGTTACGTCCTGTAGGACTATCTTTTAACTCCCAAGAAGTTCATGAAATACTTGTATATATCTACATACAAGTTAAATTGAAGTGCCCTTTAGACAGCATAGGAGCTGGTAAGAGTTAAATTACTTACAGCAAGACCTCTTGCACCAGATGGTCCATTAGGTCCGGGAGGTCCAGGAATACCACGACCTCCAGGGAGTCCAGGAGCACCACCTACACCAGGAAGACCCTGAAATAGTGCAAAAAGATCATTTTAGTTAAAAATATATCCAAATAAATATAGTAAAGTTGCAACAATAAAAAAATACCACCCCCCACAGCTTATCTCATTCCCAATAATTTAAGTGGTTTGAATACTTACAGCTGCACCTTTAGCTCCATTCACACCATTAGCACCAGGGTTTCCCTAAAATATAAGCAAATAAAAGTTTTAGGTACAATTGGGATTGTAAAATTAACTATCGTTTCAATGCCAAATTTACTTACAGGAGGTCCGACAGGTCCAAGAGCACCAGGGGGTCCAGGCTCGCCTCTTCCTCCAGCAGCACCACCTGAGCCAGTGTTACCAGAAGGTCCTAGCTCACCCTGGTAGGTGAAAAAAAGCATGTTACTGAGAGTCAAGCTGAATACGGTTTATATAGATAACAATACCCTAATATTCTTTAAAATACTGCTCGCTCTTCAAGGCCTATTATATCATGCATGTATTACCTCAACCTCCATATATACTGTATGTTTTTCAATATGGCCAGCATCATCACCTTAAATTTGCAATTATACTAAGTTGCATTGCCTGAAAGTGGTAGTGTTTGCAGTGGTAGAACCTGCTCAGTAAGATGATGGGTGGGAAGAGAAGTTCTCAAATAGGCTTACAGGAAGAGAACTCAAGGCAGGTGCTACCAAGATACACAGAACAGGCAAATGGTGGGCTCAGTGTCTGCAGAACATCAGGATCTGACAAATGTCACTTTTGTTATTCTAGGCTGCCATATTGCTCACTAGAGAAAGACTATGGGATTGATTTACTAAAGGCAAAAAGGCTGTTCATGCTGCGAAGGAAGTTGCACTTTGCATTGGAAATTTCCCCAGAGCTTAGTGAATGCGGTAACATTTCATTTGGTAAAAATACCCAATCACGTGCAAGGAAAATGAAAAAAACTGCATTTTTGCTTGGACATGACCAGATCATGGAAGTCAGCAGAGCTTCAGCTCATTCACCAAGCTTTGGGGCGAATTCTCATACAAAATACAACTTATTATGCAAAGTGAGCTGTCTATTTACCTTTAGTAAAGCAACCACTATATGTGTTAATATTGTTTTTTTCTTTAGCTACTAAACTGAAGATTTCTTTACCTATAGTAGTTGTAGACTATCTATGCCAATGAAGTAGCTCAGGAAGAACATAGAAGTCAACAGACAAGTTAACAAGCACTTCCTCAGAGGCATATTAGACAAAACTAAGCCATAGGATCAGGCCTTCCACACCGCCAGGTCTGCTAGTTATTTCTAATATTCTAATATTGTTTTCTTATAGTTGGTTCCAGGGGCGGACTGGCAACTCATGGGGCCCCCGGGAAACAGGGGATCATGGGGCCTCTGTGTCCTCACCCACACTCAAACCACACCCAAAACAGCCTATGAAAGGTACCAAGGGCATCTCATGGGGCCCCCTACTGACTCCAGGCCCTCGGGCAGTGCCCGAGTGCCGCAATGGTCAGTCCGCCCCTGGTTGGTTCACACCTACAGTTGCGACCAAGTGCATGTTGCACATAGGGTAGTCCATTCATTTCAATGTGCTGCCCTTATATACAAGAAATGTGAAAAAGAAGCCCCCAAATCTTTTCCGAAAACACGTTGCATCAAGCCACATGTTCAATGGCACCTTGCTAAATGGCAGCGCGTTTCTCTGCGTGTTGGGAAAACACGCAATTTTGTGCACATTCTCAACACACATAGATATGAACCTAGCCTTAAGATATAATTCTTTAGTATGATGAGTTTATTCATTATAATGACCCCTTGCACTTATTCGCCTATCGAGTACGTCAGAGAAATGAACAATGATATGTGCAAAGTGCAATAACCTATCATAACCAGCTATCCCTTACTAACAGCAGATGTGTGAAAGGTGAGTTATGGATCACACCTCTGAACACAATGCACATTGCCTTATTCAATAAAGCAAACAATGTTTAGGTCTAATATATTCAGGTAACTGTGACCCAGAAATACACAGGTTTGGTACACTCACCTTGGCACCAGGAGCACCGGGAAGACCAGGAGCACCAGCTGAACCGATTGGGCCCTGAAAGAATCACAAAAATTAACCAGTTAGGGATTTTAAAAATGGCTTTTGTTTTATTTTATACTCAATGAAAATACTAAAAATAAAAATCAATAATACTTAAGAGGTCCACCTTTCAGGAAATCCCCAGCAAATTAATTAGGAAGCAACCTTGCCCCCTACAAATAGGAGTTGCTTTAGATGCAATAGGCATCTTTATTTTACATACTGTTTCGTTATTGGATTTTCTTGGGTCATTAAAGCTGAACTCTGGGACACCCAAATACTTTCTAAATATATAGAGGCATGTGCAATCTTACTAAAATCTTGGTGTTCTTTCTCTATTTCCTGCACATTTGTACAGTAATCCAGTGTGAAATGTTACCCCGTATAGGAGCTTTCTGACTTAAGATCAGCTCAATCCATCAAAGCCACACCCCCCAATATGTTTCACCCTACTTCCCAGATGGGGCAAAATGCGTAAGTCCATGATTCAATGGATTGAGCTAAGACTGCATTTATGTACCTACAACATGGCTAGGTGGGGGGTGCTGGAGCAGGGAAACCTCTTTTTTCATTTTAAACTTCATGCCATCCCCAGCCTGCACCCTCACAAGTCAACGGCATCCTTCTTACAGGATCCACAAACTTGAGTGGGGACATCTACACTATAACTTCGGGTCACTGTATTGAGACCAATCATTGCTGCTCTCTGCAGGGTGACTGGTTTTGTATCTGATGTATTGAATGTGTCCTCACTGGTCTGATGTCAACTCTAAAATTTTGCATTTCCTATTTTGCACTCTCAGTGACAATAGTCACCAGGACAAACAGTGAGTGAATTACCCCAGTGGGTACATGGACGTCAATAAAAACCCAACAGAGATTTTTGCTATAAATACACTTTTCCTATGGGAACTCAAAAATGCCCAAACACATTCAGCTTCTAGTTACTAGTTTTACCGCTTTTCTTCTTTAATTCATATCATCTGTAATAAAATAAAAGGATATACTTACAGCAGGTCCAACTGGGCCAGAACTGCCATCACTTCCACGAGGACCCTAATGAAATAGAAACATATGATCAGCTTAGAGGAACAACAATCACACAGATTGGGTAAAACTTGCTAAATTCATTGATAAACTATGTTTCAGATACATAAAAACTTGATTATTAACTTACAGCAGAGCCAGGTGATCCAACACGTCCTCTCTCACGGGGGAGACCGCGAGCACCCTACAAAACAAGAGGGAACATTCATTATTTTATACATTCATTAGCTACAAACCCCTTGTTTAATATCTATATAAATTATAGATAATTATAACTGTGTGTCTTTTTGAACATTGCAAAACTAGTAAATCATTACAACTGTGTGTCACCATGTACACAATGTACATGGTGTTATGTTGAAGAACGTTTTGCTATCTATCTTTTTCAGCTTGCATGAGTAGCAAAATGTCCCTCAACTTTACAGCTCAAGTTCAGTTGAATGTGACTAGCTATTACTAGCTATGCCATGGCCTGGACAAAGGAGAACCATCACATATATGTCTTCTACTGATGCTTTGAAGTGGTGGCAGCAGCAGACAAGCTAGAGCAGCACTAGGTTTGCCCTAAGGTCAATGTTATAGGGGTCATCATTATACAGGGATGTCAGGGCGCTGTTTAGAACAGAGGTACGCATGTGTGAAGACACAGATCTGGCACGTCTTCCAGTATCTTACATGGAAATGTGTGCAGATGCATTTGATGTACACACACAGGCGCATGCATGCACATGTGCAATCATGAAATTGGCGCCAGATGACCTATTGAAGGAAGGAAGCAATGATCTTCAGTTTATCTGTGCTTCTTGTTCCTATGTATCCTGCATTATCCTGATCCCTTGTTGCCGGCTCGGCCTGCTTCTGGACTTTTCTTCTGCTTGACCTCTTTTTGTTAACTTGGCTTGTGTAACAGGCTCTTCTTCTGCCCACCCATGTATGATTCTGGCTTGTCTCCTGACCACTCTGACGCCTTCTAATCCTAACTGCTGGACATGACCTTGGCTGTGTTCCTGACTACACTATTGCCTTGCATCCTGTTGACCTCCTGTGTACAACTCTGGAGATATTGACCTCTGCTATTCTTTCACAGTTTTTCCTTGCCAGTCTGATCCTGCTTCCTCCACAGATGTTAACATATCACTTGCTGCCACACTGGACCTACTGTACCAAAAGTATCCCTTGTGTTCTTGCCATCACTCCTAACCACCTGCCTGAGGAGCACTTAGCTGGATACTTCCTAAAACAGTTCTCAGTGAATCAAGCTAACAGCACCTGTGCTCTTTTGAGACTTGCACTTAATGTTATCACCTCATGGGGTTCTTGGACCTTAGCCACAAGGGAAGCCCTCTCGTCACCTTGGCCTCCAACCAGGTACGTTTCTTAGAGCTCATAATACAGAAGATAGACATGACCCCAACATAATTTTTTTCTGGTCTGTAGAGTGATCTAGCCAGACCAATTATGTTTTGGCAAGTAGTCAAGATTAATTAAAGGATAAGTTCAAATTTGTGAACATGTTTTAGGGTGGAACGTGTAACATGTTCCCATAGCCGAAGCTGCCGTCCGCCCGCCATCCTCCCTTCCCCTGGCAGATAGTATGGGAAGAAGTCTCCCCATACTATATATCAGATTTGAAAACAGTGCAGCAGTGAGGAGCTCTGCCCACACGGCACATCATTCATTCACGGACTTCTGTGAATGAATGAACTTCAAGTCCCAGCAGCCTTAGCGGCTATCAGCTTGTAGTTTTCAATGAACTACCACGGTGCTGTGGTAGTTTATTGAAGCTTCCTGTCAGAATATCTGCTTGCTCTTACATCCTATACGATATGCAGATATTCTGACAGGTCTGCAGGTGACTTGCATGGCATCAGCGATCTACTGATCACTGGTGCAATGCTTTCCAAGCTCCTGTAGACAAAAATAATAAATGCACATTTTTTTACTTGCACAAAAATGTGCATTTATTATTTTTGTCTAAAAGGTGAACTTATCCTTTAATGCACTTATAATGTAAGAGAGCCATTATCAAAGGTTATTCATTGATCAGTCTGTTACAACTGAATCAAGAAGCAAGTAAATTTCTGTGGCCACTGTTGCCTTAGCATGGCAGGTGTCATTTGAAGAATCAATTATCAAAAAGGATTTTCCTTGCAAGGTAAGGCTTTACTGAATAAAGCTGATTTCAGGGTTTTGTTGGCCAAGAATGCTCATGTGACCATTGTTCTAAATAACAATAGTACAATTTTGCTTTTGTTTTGACAAATTACTATCACAATAGACAAAAAAATAACAAGGGAAAACAGAAAAGAATATACTTACAGCTTGACCTGGGGAACCATTTTCACCATTAGCACCATTTTCTCCCTAAAAGAGAAAAAAATAGGTCAAGTGATCATCAAAAATGATGAATTCATTAACAAACAAGTTCATTAACAAAAGACAAATATGCTTTATAACAAACTTTACTGCTGGCTGGGGAATAAAGGGATCGTTTTTGTATCTATGGCACCTACCCTGGACAATCCTACATCACTGACTCTCCTGAATATCTCAAGACAAGTGCATCGTTTGTGACAAAAATACAACTAAAGTGTTATGCAATCAGGTTGATTCAATGCCAGAAGACATAGAATTTCTATATATCATGTACCTTCTCTGCAGTGTAAGGAAACACTTCCACCTATCAGCACTACGGTCATTGGTTTCAATCCCAACCAGGGGCGGACTGAAAACTCATGGGGCCCCCGGGCAATAGGGGATCATGGGGCCCCTGTGTCCTTGCCCAAACTCAAAAAAGCCTATGAAAAAGGCACCAGGGGCATCTCATGGGGCCCCCTACTGACCCCGGCCCCTCAGGCAGCGCCCGAGTTTCCAAATGGTCAGTCCGCCCCTGATCCCAACCACGGCACTGCCGTGCTGTGGGTCGTTGGTTTGAATCCCAACCACAGTTTCAATGTTCTCCCTTTACTGGCATGGGTTAATTGGCCCTACTATGTGTATGTATGAATGTGAGTTGAGGACCTTAGATTGTAAGCATCTTGAGGGCAGGGACTGATGTGAATGAGCAATATTTATACAAAGCACTAAATTCATGGTGCTATAAAAGTACCGGTAATAAAAATAATAAACTGCAGAAAGATGGCAGCTGTCATAGGCTCTTACATCTGCCAGCCATCTATAAGCTTTAGATGCACCCATGTTAGCAAACGCCTTAAGGTGAACAGAAGAAACATCTAGCTGGCTAGATCTTTGATGACATGTGCTAAGCATCCACCTCATTACCTGTCCACCAAAAAACCTGGATCTAGACCACATCACTCACAAAGGGATTGTAAGGCCTACCACAACTGGGATTTCTCAGGTACCATTTAAAACTTTACTATTTTCACTGGGATCACCAATACATACAAACCCATTGATGCCAAGACATCCAACAATGAAAACACGACCATGAAAATGTTTTGGCCTCAACTAGCTGTTTTTGTTCCATGGTGCCAGGGACTGAAAACAAAGCTTTAATTTGAACCTCAGCAATCCCAGAGGTGGAAGTTCGAGTTTGAGATCTATTCATCTCTTCGCAAGTGTTCCCTTTATACAAGAGAAAATAGACAGAAAATTACCTTCACACCAGAAACTCCAGGAGCTCCTTTCTGACCATCTGAACCAGTGTGTCCCTGAAAGATAACACAAAGTACAATTAGAATCTCTACCAGGCCAGAATCCTAAATATTCATACAAATTTGATGAAAGTGCTATGTTCTTACACTGTAGTTCTAATTCGTCATGTATCTTCAGTTTTGATGCATATATGCATGTAATACATTATTTTTGGAATTTAATTTAGGAATCTTTATAAGGTAAATTTAGAGTAACAGTAGGACATGATTGGTGTCTTTCCCCAATCCAAAAAAGAATGTTTTTTAGAAACCAGAGTTATGTACATTGCACACATTGGCTGAAATATACACAGTAAGGCTAACTGGGTCATTTATAAGCACCCAATGCAATTTATGCTATTGATCAATTTAAAATTTTCTTAGTTAATGCAAACGTACATTTTACTACGGGAGGTGCTTGAGGTGATTGTAGCTGTATTAGTGCACTTGTGACAGAAACTATTGAGTACTGTCCTGACACATTTTTATTTGCACTAACATACAATTTTTCAGGACAAGCTTTCAGGGTATGTCCCTTTCTTCAAGGTTCAAGCAGTAATTTTTTTCTGCTATTGGATGTGAAATGGTAAAACATTAATAAACTATATTAAATGAAAATCTTGCCAGATTGATAATAACAAGTTAAAACTGTGTATTTTTATTAAAACTTACCGTTTAAGAAGACAATGGGGTTGTAATGGGAGAATTAGTAAAGGTGTAGATGCTGTTCACTTAGAAAAGTGAATGTTTTCTTAACTTTGTAAAAGAAATGACCCTGTGTTCACTTTGTACCCAATTATGTACATTGGATATTAAAAAAAAATAGATTTTGCTTGAAAGTGATTGGATAATTAAAGTGAACCTAGCTTAACCTCAATTGCTAAGCTTGAACATTCACTTTCCATGCTCTCTTTTCTGAAATGAACCTCAATGTTTTGATAATTGTAACAGCGTTCGGTCCATTTGCACTGTCATGGCAAATACAAATGCAATGGGGTTGATTTATTAAAGGAGTAGAGAATGTTAATTTAGCTTCATGAATATATGATCCATTTTAAACTACCCAATCATGTGCAAGGTTAAGTAGAAAAATGAAAATGTTTGTATATTATTGAATGGTGAAGCTTCATCTAACGTACTATGCTAAGTAAGTCAACTCCAATGGCTTGTAGATGAGGAACTTTACAGCATAAGCCTTTTTTGTTGAGCAGTGAAAAATATGGTCCAACATACTGTCAATGTGCTAAATAAGCATATGCAGTTTATATGGGTGGTAAGAAGACTCTTTGGTGAATGATAAGGATCACAATTTTGTATATATAAAAACAGAATACAAATAATAATAAATATATTTTATATTCTTTTTGACATTAAGTTGAACAACTAAATTATATTTGTTCCTTTGTAAACTGGAACTTACTCTAATGCCTTTGAATCCAGGGAGACCAGGAGTTCCGGGGAAACCACGAGCACCCTACAATAGAGAAAGGAGAATCAATCATAAATGTGTAAACTTGAATTTTTAAAGAATATAAATAAAGTGTAACAGATTCTAATTTTCTAAAAATTTACACCTCCACAAAAGTGCTCATTATCACTTGGGAGTTAACATCAAATTATTGATGTTCAAACTAGTTCAGTTGTGATATATGGGCTTCCAAAGTCCAAGCCCATACTGATTTTAGTGGGTCAGACTTATTAATATTGCTGAAAAATTAAGTACTCATACCTGTGGGCCGACGGGTCCTCTCTCACCAGGTCTTCCAGCTTTGCCAGCATGACCCTAAAAGGAAACAAAAATATAAATAAATTGTTAGAAAAGAGGTAAACACATCCAGTTATATGTTCCTTTATAAACTGCTAAGATAATGTACAGTTATATAGTTTAAACTTATTAGGCATGCAAGTGGGTGATGCAGCACCTACTAAAGATGTGGGTAGATGCAGCGAGGTGTGGGATCAGATGCAGCGACAGCGTCTGTCTCAGAGGGTGGCCGGTACCCCAAAGGGGAAGATTCTGATGCAGGATGACATGTCCCTAGCTTGTTCCTACTTGTCTGGAACCTCTCCCTACTGCTATCACTTTCCCTGACAGATGTGTGCTCTTACCCTATCCCATCCAGTTTGTAAAATGTATGCCAAACCCTGGGGGCCTAAAAAAGGCTCTGTTGACCCAAGATGGGCACAAGGGGTCATTTGGATGCAGTGAAGCCAACCAGAAAACTGTCCCAGGGACTAGGGAACCACAGAGCATCCAGGTTTCCCCTGACTTCGCCTCCAGCTGAAGTACAGCTCCGTTCAAGCACCACCGTCAGTGGAGAAAGTAGACTGTGCCTGCCTACATGGGTCTAAGGGCAGGTGAGACAAAAATTGCAACCCCATAGGGGTTCCGATAGGGATCTGAGGGGCAATGCATAACGATGCAAGGTTCTTATAAATCCTTCTTTTGAACAGAAGCACTATGGCAGCAGCTATCTAATGATATATACATTCATACATTGCTGAAATGGGAGTTTATTGATTGATAAGGAAGTGACCTTGGTTGGTTGGTAAATTAATAAAAAATCAACATAATGCAGGGAGACAGGGTGAGAGGGCTAAAATAAACAGGGTGACTCTCTTGATTGTAGAATATGTTGGCATGACCATTGCTTGGTTCAAGGCTGGCCATTAGAGTAGACTACTGTGCTATGTTGAATCTATTCCAGTAAAAAAAAAACAAAAAAAACAACTATCTATCTATCTATCTATCTATCTATCTATCTATCTATCTATCTATATATATATATACAGTATATGTATAGTCCTACTTTTAACTACATTCAAGTGTCCGCTTATAGAGATAGTTACTGAAGAAGATGTCCACTCGTAGCCACGCTCATGCACGTGTGGTCACCTAACAGGCCGACAGCTGCACGTCTTGTGTATGGTCAACTTGAACATGCAAATTTGAACCATGCTAACATGTTACTATCAACATTTCTGTACAATGTTCATGATCTTAACAGAGATTGATACTTTAAAATGTATCCAAGAACAACCCATCTCTGTGTAGAGCTATGTGCCACTATATAGTCCAGGAGACTCCTGTGTAACTCTACAATGCTGGAAAGCTCATCTCGGGAGGCTTCAGGAGGTGATAACAGAGAGGATTCTCTTGGCACCTCATGGTGGACTGATAACTCCTGGCAGAAATGGCTATATGGGTGGTGGGGCTGCAAAGTGACATATATGTCATCGTCTTTTATCTTCGGATTATTTATGTTAGCAGGGTATACCACCAGGGAGGAAAGAGTAATATTATAGAAATATTTCTTGATAGTTTTGAATTGAATAGGTTTTGAAAACTATTTCTGAATGCTGTTTTTGTAAAGGACTAATTATGTAAGAATCTGTCACCTTTTGGTATATATAGGGTTTACACGGGATTTGAAGATGTGACCAAAACTACATTTTCTGTGGCAGCCAGAATTAGATGACATAAATTAATTTCCAGTCGTATGATGGATGACTACAGAATTCTGTTAGCTGGATGTCATTTAATGTTACTGTATTGGGGCCTCATGTTTTAATATTTGAGCAAATAAAAAGCAGTTGATGCCCATAGCCACTAATTAAATAGCAGCTTCAATCTTCTACCATAGGTTAGACGCTGCATTTGGTATCTGACTAATACAGTGGGCAAAACAAACACTTTTTCATTGCTCTCATTTCTGGTGACATCCAGTATTATAGCACAGAAAGTGTCTTTTGTGAGTTGGTGATATAAAAGGCATATGAGGTTCCATAAAAAGGTGCATGGTATAGTATGAAATGGTTTTAATTACTTACATCTTCACCAGGTTTGCCTGAGGCACCAGTGGGTCCTCTGGATCCTACAGGGCCCTAAAGATATAAAGGAATATGATTAATAATGCAGACTTACAGTACATTAATAAAATAGTAATTATTATTATTATAAATAAAGCTGGGCTCTTACAGTTTGACCGGGTTCACCGGGTTCTCCGGGAAGACCTTGGAAACCTTGAGAGCCCTACAAATGGAAAACAAAGAGGATATCATTACTGTTATACAGAATGTTGATAAAATAAATCACTTTTCCTAGATTTGTTGTCAGTGTCCACCCTCTCTTTATAAACTAAGTATTATATCACCTTTAGGGCATGTAAAAAAGAACATCTTCATTTCATCATCATCATTCCAAACCTCAGTGTCACATCATTCCAAATCCCAGAACCACATGACTACAAATACCAGTGCCATATCATCTTTACATCCAGTGCCACACCATTCCAAACCTCATTGCCATATCATTCCAAAAGCCAGTACCACACCATTCCAAACCACATTACCATATCATTCCAAAACCCAGTGCCACACCATTCCAAACCTCATTGCCATATCATTCCAAAAGCCAGTACCACACCATTCCAAACCACATTACCATATCATTCCAAAACCCAGTGCCACATCATTCCAAACCTCATTGCCATATCATTCCAAAAGCCAGTACCACACCATTCCAAACCACATTACCATATCATTCCAAAACCCAGTGCCACACCATTCCAAACCACATTGTCATATCTTTCCAAAACCCAGTGCCACACCATTCCAAACCTCATTGTCATATCATTCCAAAACCCAGTGCCACACCATTCCAAACCTCATTGTCATATCATTCCAAAACCCAGTGCCACATCATTCCAAACCTCATCGCCACATCCTTCTTAACCCTGGTCCCACATCAGTCCAAACCCCACTACCACATCATTCCCAAAACTAATGCCAAACCATTCTAAACCCCGGTATCACATCATTCCCAACCCCAATGGCACATCATTGCAAACTCTAGAGTACAATGCTACATAATTCCAAACCTTAGTGCAAGATTAGTCTCACACCACTCTTACATTCAAATCACCCATTTTTCAAGTAGTAAATTGAGTCTTGGTCAAGTAACATATTACCTTTAATGCCAAAGGAGCTTCACTCATTACTAGGGTTGCCTTTAGGGCATTTAAAAAAAAGAACATCTTCATTTCCCAGGATCACAACAATCTAAACCTCAGTGTGAAATGGCTACAAATCCCAGTGCCATATCATCTTTGCACCCAGTCTCACACCATTCCAAACATAATTACCAGACCATTTCAAACTCCAGTACCACACCATTCCAAAGCTTAGGGCCACACCATTCTAACTCCTAGTAGCTCACCATTAAAAACTGCAATGCCACACCATTCAAAACCCCAGTAACACATCATTTCCAAACCTAATGCCACCCACACCATTCTAAACCCTGGTACCACATCATTCCAAACCTCAGTGTAACATTAGTCTGACACCCATTCTCACATCATTCTTACATTCAGAGTAATATCATGCAAATGCTACATTATCCCTAGTCCCAGTGCAACATCACTCCTAAGCCAATAACAATATTGCTCCAATTGCAAGTGCAACAGCACTCCATTGCCACATCATTCTACTTCAAACCCCTGGGTCCTACAGCTCACTGCAATGCAATATCTCCGCTAACTCCCTGCCACATCATCCTTAATCCAAGTGTTCCACCACTCTCAACCCAACTGCCAGATCACTCCTGACCCTCTGTTAGGTTATCCCCAATCCAAATTGCACTTCATGTCCCAGTTCACAACAATTATAGTTTTAGTACCACTTCAACTGAAATCTCAATGCCCTCTAGCCCTAGTACAACATCATCCTTCAATCCAGGATAACATCACTCCTAATCCCAAAACCACAAAACCCCGAGCTACAGCACATCACTATCCATAACCACAGTATCACATCACCCCTAATTCTAGAATGACATTGCTCCTAAATCCAACACCAGCGTTTCATATTTTGTAAATGTATTGCCACATTACTCCTAACTATAATGCCACAACACCCCTGACTGTGGTGTCACATCACTTCTAACCCAATATCACATAATCCCTGACTGCAGTACCACATCACTCTTAGCCATTATGCCATTTCACTTTTTATTCAAATGCCACATCACCTCTAATTCCAGTGGCACATCAACCTGGACCACAGTATTGCATCACCCCAGACTCAAGAAATATATCATTGCTGACCCAAGAGCCACATCACTCCTACCCACAGTGCCACATTACCCTTAACTCCAGTGTCACATCATTCCTAACCCTAGTGTCCCATCATTCCTAACCCTAGTGTCACATCACAACTAATACTAGTGTCCCATCACAACTAACCCTAGTGTCACATCATTCCTAACCCTAGTGTCACATCACACCTAACCCTAGTGTCACATCATTCCTAACCCTAGTGTCACATCACACCTAACCCTAGTGTCACATCATTCCTAACCCTAGTGTCACATCACTCCTAACCCTAGTGCCCCATCACTCCTAACCCTAGTGTTACATCATTCCTAACCCTAGTGTCACATCATTCCTAACCCTAGTGCCCCATCACTCCTAACCCTAGTGTTACATCATTCCTAACCCTAGTGTCCCATCATTCCTAACCCTAGTGTCCCATCACAACTAACCCTAGTGTTACATCACACCTAACCCTAGTGTCACATCACACCTAACCCTAGTGTCACATCATTCCTAACCCTAGTGTCACATCATTCCTAACCCTAGTGTCACATCACACCTAACCCTAATGTCACATCATTCCTAACCCTAGTGCCCCATCACTCCTAACCCTAGTGTTACATCATTCCTAACCCTAGTGTCCCATCATTCCTAACCCTAGTGTCACATCACAACTAATACTAGTGTCCCATCACAACCAACCCTAGTGTCACATCATTCCTAACCCTAGTGCCCCATCACTCCTAACCCTAGAGTCACATCATTCCTAACCCTAGTGTTACATCATTCCTAACCCTAGTGCCCCATCACTCCTAACCCTAGTGTTACATCATTCCTAACCCTAGTGTCCCATCATTCCTAACCCTAGTGTCACATCACAACTAATACTAGTGTCCCATCACAACCAACCCTAGTGTCACATCATTCCTAACCCTAGTGCCCCATCACTCCTAACCCTAGAGTCACATCATTCCTAACCCTAGTGTTACATCATTCCTAACCCTAGTGTCACATCATTCCTAACCCTAGTGTCGCATCACACCTAACCCTAGTGTCACATCATTCCTAACCCTAGTGTCACATCATTCCTAACCCTAGTGTCACATCACAACTAACCCTAGAGTCACATCACACCTAACCCTAGTGTCACATTATGCCTAACCCTAGTGTCACATCATTCCTAACCCTAGTGTCACATCACACCTAACCCAAGTGTCACATCATTCCTAACCCTAGTGCCCCATCACTCCTAACCCTAGTGTTACATCACTCCTAACCCTAGTGTCCCATCATTCCTAACCCTAGTGTCACATCACAACTAATACTAGTGTCCCATCACAACTAACCCTAGTCTCACATCATTCCTAACCCTAGTGTCACATCACACCTAACCCTAGTGTCACATCACTCCTAACCCTAGTGTCACTTCATTCCTAACCCTAGTGTCACATCATTCCTAACCCTAGTGTCACATCACAACTAACCCTAGTGTTACATCACTCCTAACCCTAGTGTCACATCACTCCTAACCCCAGTGTCACATTACTCCTAACCCTAGTTTCACATCATTCCTAAGCCTAGTGTCACATCATTCCTAATCCTAGTGTCACATCACAACTAACCCTAGTGTCACATCACACCTAACCCTAGTGTCACATCACTCCTAACCCTAGTGTCACATCACTCCTAACCCTAGTGTCACATCACACCTAACCCTAGTGTTACATCTTTCCTAACCCTAGTGTCACATCATTCCTAACCCTAGTGTCACATCACACCTAACCCTAGTGTCACATCACTCCTAACCCTAGTGTCACATCATTCCTAACCCCAGTGTCACATCACTCCTAACCCTAGTGTCACATCATTCCTAACCCTAGTGTTACATCACACCTAACCCTAGTGTTACATCATTCCTAACCCTAGTGTCACTTCATTCCTAACCCTAGTGTCACATCATTCCTAACCCTAGTGTCACATCACTCCTAACCCTAGTGTCACATCATTCCTAACCCTAGTGTCACATCACAACTAACCCTAGTGTCCCATCACAACTAACCCTAGTGTTACATCACTCCTAACCCTAGTGTCACATCACACCTAACCCCAGTGTCACATCACTCCTAACCCTAGTTTCACATCATTCCTAACCCTAGTGTCACATCACACCTAACCCTAGTGTCACATCACTCCTAACCCTAGTGTCACATCATTCCTAACCCCAGTGTCACATCACTCCTAACCCTAGTGTCACATCATTCCTAACCCTAGTGTTACATCACACCTAACCCTAGTGTTACATCATTCCTGACCCTAGTGTCACTTCATTCCTAACCCTAGTGTCACATCATTCCTAACCCTAGTGTCACATCACTCCTAACCCTAGTGTCACATCATTCCTAACCCTAGTGTCACATCACAACTAACCCTAGTGTCCCATCACAACTAACCCTAGTGTTACATCACTCCTAACCCTAGTGTCACATCACACCTAACCCCAGTGTCACATCACTCCTAACCCTAGTTTCACATCATTCCTAAGCCTATTGTCACATCACTCCTAACCCTAGTGTCACATCCCACCTAACCCTATTGTCACATCATTCCTAACCCTAGTGTCACATCACACCTAACCCTAGTGTCACATCACTCCTAACCCTAGTGCCCCATCACTCCTAACCCTAGTGTTACATCACTCCTAACCCTAGTGTCCCATCATTCCTAACCCTAGTGTCACATCACAACTAATACTAGTGTCCCATCACAACTAACCCTAGTGTCACATCATTCCTAACCCTAGTGTCACATCATTCCTAACCCTAGTGTCACATCACACCTAACCCTAGTGTCACATCACTCCTAACCCTAGTGTCACTTCATTCCTAACCCTAGTGTCACATCATTCCTAACCCTAGTGTCACATCACAACTAACCCTAGTGTTACATCACTCCTAACCCTAGTGTCACATCATTCCTAACCCCAGTGTCACATTACTCCTAACCCTAGTTTCACATCATTCCTAAGCCTAGTGTCACATCATTCCTAACCCTAGTGTCACATCACAACTAACCCTAGTGTTACATCACTCCTAACCCTAGTGTCACATCATTCCTAACCCCAGTGTCACATTACTCCTAACCCTAGTTTCACATCATTCCTAACCCTAGTGTCACATCATTCCTAACCCTAGTGTCACATCACAACTAACCCTAGTGTTACATCACTCCTAACCCTAGTGTCACATCATTCCTAACCCCAGTGTCACATTACTCCTAACCCTAGTTTCACATCATTCCTAACCCTAGTGTCACATCATTCCTAACCCTAGTGTCACATCACAACTAACCCTAGTGTCACATCACACCTAACCCTAGTGTCACATCATTCCTAACCCTAGTGTTACATCACACCTAACCCTAGTGTTACATCATTCCTAACCCTAGTGTCACTTCATTCCTAACCCTAGTGTCACATCATTCCTAACCCTAGTGTCACATCACTCCTAACCCTAGTGTCACATCATTCCTAACCCTAGTGTCACATCACAACTAACCCTAGTGTCCCATCACAACTAACCCTAGTGTTACATCACTCCTAACCCTAGTGTCACATCACACCTAACCCCAGTGTCACATCACTCCTAACCCTAGTTTCACATCATTCCTAAGCCTAGTGTCACATCATTCCTAACCCTAGTGTCACATCCCACCTAACCCTATTGTCACATCATTCCTAACCCTAGTGTCACATCACACCTAACCCTAGTGTTACATCACACCTAACCCTAGTGTCACATCACACCTAACCCTAGTGTCACATCACTCCTAACCCTAGTGTCACATCACAACTAACCCTAGTGTCCCATCACTCCTAACCCTAGTGTCACATCACTCCTAACCCTAGTGTCACATCATTCCTAACCCTAGTGTCACATCATTCCTAACCCCAGTGTCACATCACTCCTAACCCTAGTTTCACATCATTCCTAACCCTAGTGTCACATCATTCCTAATCCTAGTGTCACATCACAACTAACCCTAGTGTCACATCACACCTAACCCCAGTGTCACATCACTCCTAACCCTAGTGTCACATCATTCCTAACCCTAGTGTTACATCACACCTAACCCTAGTGTTACATCACACCTAACCCTAGTGTCACATCACTCCTAACCCTAGTGTCACTTCATTCCTAACCCTAGTGTCACATCACTCGTAACCCTAGTGTCACATCATTCCTAACCCCAGTGTCACATCACTCCTAACCCTAGTGTCACATCATTCCTAAGCCTAGTGTCACATCATTCCTAACCCTAGTGTCACATCACAACTAACCCTAATGTCACATCCCACCTAACCCTATTGTCACATCATTCCTAACCCTAGTGTCACATCACACCTAACCCTAGTGTCACATCACAACTAACCCTAGTGTCCATCACTCCTAACCCTAGTGTCACATCATTCAACTAACCCTAGTGTCCCATCACAACTAACCCTAGTGTCACATCATTCCTAACCATAGTGTTACATCACTCCTAACCCTAGTGTCACATCATTCCTAACCCTAGTGTCCCATCACTCCTAACCCTAGTGTCACATCATTCCTAACCCTAGTGTCCCATCACTCCTAACCCTAATGTCACATCATTCCTAACCCTAGTGTCACATCATTCCTAACCCTAGTGTCACATCATTCCTAACCCTAGTGTCCCATCATTCCTAACCCTAGTGTCACATCATTCCTAACCCTAGTGTCACATCATTCCTAACCCTAGTGTCACATCATTCCTAACCCTAGTGTCACATCATTCCTAACCCTAGTGTCACATCATTCCTAACCCTAGTGTCACATCATTCCTAACCCTAGTGTCTAACCCTAGTGTCACATCATTCCTAACCCTAGTGTCACATCATTCCTAACCCTAGTGTCCCATCACAACTAACCCTAGTGTCACATCATTCCTAAACCTAGTGTCACATCACTCCTAACCCTAGTGTCCCATCACAACTAACCCTAGTGTCACATCATTCCTAACCCTAGTGTCACATCATTCCTAACCCTAGTGTCACATCATTCCTAACCCTAGTGTCACATCATTCCTAACCATAGTGTTACATCACACCTAAATCTAGTGTCACATTACTCCTATCCTTTGTGTTAAATCACTCTAAACCCCAATGCCACATTGCCCCTGAGCCCCATGACACATCACTATAACAAGCATTGCTAGATTATTTCTAACACCAGTGACACATAATCCACCAATCACAGCACTCCATAATTTCTCATCCACACATTACATATTTTTTTTTTCTAGTTATTCCATGCATAATTCTAGAGCCACAAGCTTCACTATTCAAGTTTCCATTATCCCGATCAATGGGCTATAAGTCTTTATTCTAGATTTATTAATTAATCTAAAAACAATGCTAACTGGGACTCTCCACTCCTAAACCGCCATGTCACTCACAATTCCTGTGTCCTATTATCCCTGTTGCTGGTACTATTGCACCTCAATTCCTAAACTCAATCAAACAATTGTCACATTAAGCTTAATTTGTGCGATTCCCATGACTCCATTCCAGGAAATATACTCACAGGAGATCCAGGGGGTCCTGGAGGTCCTCTTGGTCCCATGATACCCTATAAAAAAATGATGTTGATTATGAATAAAGTGGTATACAAACAGGATTACATTGTGCTAGATGAGACATCATTAAGGCATCAGAATTACATTTTCAATGGTAACTTCCTGGCTCAAAATGTTTCAGGGTCAAAGGTCACCTATGTGAAAAGTCTTGTAGAGTACAAGTGATCTGGGCCTGGAAGAAGACCATCATAAGTAGATGTTATCTCAGGAACGGAGCAGGGGGGGGGGGGAGTGCAGATATCACATCGCTGGAGAAAGACACATTCAATGGTAATTGTGCCATAATGTACATGTTTGCTTTGCACATTATGACAAAAGACCACCTACCCCAAAAGATATTCCACATTAAATGATAAATGTGAGGTGGCCCAGCAGCCACCCAAACAATTCTCCCAAGCTGCTCACTTCATGAGATGTTAGCCCTCATTTCACATGTCTTTGTTTAATCCTGATTGGCTGAACTTGGTGGCTGTCAAGAGTTAGAAATAGTTATTTTTAAGAGATCAACTCTATCCTCAACAGATATTTAAGTGTTATTGCTGCCAAATTCAAACACATGCTAGTTTCTTTAGTCTTTCTGGGCCTCCAAGACAACAGTTCCAAGACAATTCCATATCTCCAGATATTTTGTGCAATACTATGGCTGATGACATTACAAGTCCTGCTTTGGTTTTGGAAATCCATTTCTTAGAGATGGAACCTTTACTATGGTTTTTCTGATCAATTTGAGGTGGACACTACTGTACAAATCACCAAGGAAAGATATGTGAAGCTAATGGATGGTTAACAACTGATGCTGAGACCATATGAATTGAAAGTAGACTCCTCTGATGTCAACATTGGTTAAAACGGCCATTCTCCACTAGGGTTCCATGGAACTCTAGGGTTCCCCCAGATGTTGCTAGGGATACCTTGAGCTGTGGCTGACCGACTTCTCATTTGATGGTGCATGAATAGGTAATTTTTTAGGCCAAAACCACTTGACAAAGTCAGTTGCATGAAACTAATGATCTTTTTTAGCTTAGGGTGGGATTCTGATCACCACTGTAAGTAGGCATTCTTGCCAGTGGCTATCAAAGTAAGGGGCATTGTTCCCAAAGACTGTCAATTAATTGGTTTAGCAAGGGTTCCCCATGACCTGAAAATTATTTTAAGGGTTCCTCTGGGACAAAAAATTTGAGAAAGACTGGGTTTAAACCAACATACAAATGTTCCTTTAGGCAGCAAATGACTGCTCTGATGAGTGCTGATGAGGGTAACTATCTTAAATTAAATGATTATCAACTCAATAGGCATTTATTTACCTGTTGGCCAGGTTCGGCAGCTTTGGAAGGATCAAACTGAGCAGCAAAATTCTGAAAAGAAAAAAAATATGCAATTATTTTAAAGGTAGAATCAATCAGTTAGGACCAAACTCCATACAGAACCTTTTTATTTAGTTTTCAAGAGAGTAGAGAAGGGATAGAACTTGTCAAGTTCTATCTGATCTCTGTGTTCCTATAGGGTAAATTTCCCCTTACTTCCTTAAAGTACAGGAAGTGATGGGAATTCTCTCCTTGGAGTACCCAGGTTTGTCAGGTTTGTATTATTGCTTGTAAGACTTCTTGTACCAGTGACCCTCATTTTTTTCTTTCCCCGCTACCACAGGCTTTCAGAAGGACAGAAAGTGAGGTGAATTCTTGTTGTCATGGACAACTAATAATTTGAGCTAAGTATTTGCTTTTTCCAAGTACTTACCAAGAAACAAATTTTTTGGCTAGGATTCGACTTTAGGGCTCATTCTAACTTTTCCATTCTTTTATGTTGCACATTATTTTGAGTTGTGTCATGCATTAATGTGCATTGCCTAAAGACAGCTCATTCCTTTTGAATGGGCTGCCAATTAACAAGAAAAAGCATTTTATTTCCATGCATTACAGTGCATGGTAGCGCAATACAGTGCATTGCAAAGCGATGCAACACATGTTCTTCAGAGCTGCGTTGCCTTGTTGTGGTGGGGAAATGAGGGGTAATCTTAAATGTGCAATTAAAACAGGAACACATGATAAGAATGGGGACAACTTTTCTGGGAACAACTGTCTAAGAGGGCATTTTGCCTCACGTTCGGGAGATTCCTGCTTGCTTCCTGTTGCATCTCTGAATCCTCCAGCCATTACTATTAATCATTTATGGGTAATTAATTTGCTAATTTTCTTATTATTTACTTTATTAACAACAAGTCATATGCCTGGTTACATAACAGGACCATAGAGAGGCTTATGTAGGAAAATGTCTCATTGCCCACAATAGCCAATCAAAATACTGGTTACATAACAGGACCATAGAGAGGCTTATGTAGGAAAAGTGCGCTAACAAGAAAATGTCTCATTGCCCACAATAGCCAATCAAAATACTGGTTACATTTTTAAAGTATGGTAGCTTACTAAACAGTAAAGTCAAAACTTTTTTGATAGAATGGAGAAGCATTAGAACCCCTTCCAGGTTTTTTTTTGCCTTCTGTGTCTTTGTGTGGAGATGTAGCCTCTCTCTTTGGCCAGGTTTCAACGCCTGGACAGAAAGGGAGGTTAACTCAAACATTTTCAGTTGTCACCAGACGAGAAATAGAGAGAAAATCTTTCAATGGGGCACATGTTCCAATGACAGCTGTCTTTTAAAGGGATTTCCCTCACGTTGGAGTGATCACCTCTCACTTCCTGTTGTGTCTACAGACAAGGAAGTGCAGGGAGATCATCCTAATGGGACAGAGAAAGCAAAAATAAAAACTCTACAGTAGTTTTAAACTTTACTTACACTACCCAAAATTAAAAACAAGCTTGGCATGACCAAGATTAAGTGTAGTATCTGTCTTGTTTTCGGAAACAGAATGCTGTCATCCTATGTTGGTGGGATAGCAATTAGTAATTCCTGATGTAATAAGTGGGTGCTTGGGGTGGGATCCTTTCCTCCTGGGATGATTCTGGCCTGGCGTATCCCTGGTTGTAGGCAGAAGCCTCCCTAGGCACTCCCATCCCTAGGAATGGGGCTGCATTTGTCTGGTCAGGAGTTCCTAGTGATGTACCCCCTGGGGGTGGCAGCACAGGGATGCTAGAAAGGCACCATGGGTTGAGTTTAACTGGCACTAGGTCACGTCACTACTACTTTTCTTGCACAATTCTTCTTGGGCAGGGCTTTTGGCTATCCTAGAGTAATTCTTATATTGGCCTAAAAGACCTGCCATGTGTATTGAGCTGGACACTTTTTATTTATTTAGCATGATTCACTATTTATTGCACAAGCCCTATACTGCATGTAGGTTGTTTTTTTTTTCCAGTACAGAGAAGACATAGGGTGAAGGTTTATCTGGGCCTACCCTGAAGTAGGAGGGGAGGATCTGTGGACTTCATTGGTCCCTTTTCCGGAGAGCTTTCAGCTTGGTGGACCAGTGTTGGAAGGCTACTAAGGACTGGAGTCCACCTCGTTACAGCCAGGTGGACTAAAGTGCCTTGTCCCTGTTAGGAGCCTTGCACCCCACTGGATGCAGGGATTGAGGCCCTTTCTTTTTAGAGGTTGGACTATTCTGTACCCTTGTGCAATTTTGTGTGCTGTGATTTCACCTAGCGCTTTTTTTGTTCACAGAGACCGACAAGCACCGCACTGAAAGGTGTTTATATTATCACAAATGGGTTTGAGTCTGTTTTGTTTGTACTCAAGGAAAAAACACACCATGCGATGATCTCTAATCTATTGTGGGCTTGGATCCCTGATGGCAGGATTACCAGGCCATATGACTCCCAAGGAATAAAAGGGGATGATAATGTACCATGCAGAAAATTAGACAGTAATTGGAAATTGGCAATATTTTTGCTGCCAATAACTTGAGCATATTATTTTGATCATTGAGTAGTGTAAAGTTAAAAGCATTATTGGACTTACTCCACCGAGTCCAGGGGGTCCAGGGGGGCCGGGTAATCCGGGCTGTCCATTTTCACCATCTCTGCCTGGTCTTCCTGGGGGTCCCTAAAAATGGCAGATCGAAACAATGATTTATCAAGCATGCCTTGAGCATATTTAATAACAAACACATTGCCAATATTAACCAATCAGAGATCAGCTTGCAGCAGTTATGTGCCATTGGACTGAAAACTGAAATCTTATTGGTTCTTTTGGGCTACTACCTATGCCTGTCATGTGTACTGTGAGCATCGTCCATAACAGTGTTTGAAGAAGAGATGCTTGCCTATCCAATAATTCCGTATTTGTTTGCATCACATACCATTTAGAACCTGATTTGTTATTTTAGACATACAAGACAGCTTTTCCTCTAAACAGCTTTGCATATGATTTACTAAATATATGGGTTTTACTTGTATAAAAATATACACCATTTTTGGTGACATTGGGTGGGGGGGGGGGGGGGTTATCAAAACTGGAGAGTGCAATCTGGTGCAGATCTGTACAGAAACCAATCAGCTTCCAGGTTTTATTGTCAAAGATTAGTTGAACAAGCTGAAGTTAGAAGCTGATTGGCTCCCATGCACAGCTACACCAGATTCTGAGTGCTCCAGATTTAGCAAATCTCCTCCATTGCGTAGATCCTCCAACTCAACATCAGTACATTTTTAAGACTATGTATCCTTTCAGCTCGCCAAAAATTTAAAATGGTACACCTTCCATTCTTGGGAAACCATTGCCAACCTTCATTCTAATGGAACACCAACATGGCATACAGTGAGAAAATGTACAAAAATGAAAAAGAAAATGAATCACAACAGTCTAGGCTTTGCCCAGAGTGCAATGATTCATTTTCTTTCCTTTTTGAATCATTTGCTGGAGTGCAACAAGCTTGAATGGCACTTGGAAATGATGCAGTGGAGCCTCTGGTGAGCCATTCACCTTGAGCAGTCTGCATATTGGCAAACAGCAACTATCATTTCCATAATACTTTAATTGGCTTTGTTGCTACAGCAGCAAATGTTACAAACTTGCAAAAGAATACTATATATATATATTCTTTATTCATATGAAGGATATACGTTAAGTATACCAGAATTTTGTATTAAAGATCAATATTCTTTTATTAGCTTTGTTACCACACATTCACAAAGATAGCACATGCTGAATTTCTACTCGTTAGCTTCTTATGCTAGTTAAAGGAAATCCCATTAAAAATTCCCAAATTGTGTTAATATATGTGTATTAAATTATTTGCATCCAGTGTAAAAATTGCCAAATAATTAAAAAATAATGATCAAACCCACTCATAATTAACTTAATTGTATCCCTATATTAAAAGGAGATCACTGTCTCTTTTTGTCTCTCTCTACTATTTATATACAGTACATCACTGGAGATAGTTCTTATATAAAAATACAAAAAACAGTAAAAATAAGAAAATAAATCTCCAAAACTGTCTATATTTGCATTACAATGACTTTTTAATGTTGAGCATTCATAATATAGAGATAATAGGAAAGTTTTATTGTCCTCACCTGTTCTCCGAGTGGGCCCTTATCTCCTCTGGGACCCTGAAGATAAGGAAATGCTTAGTAGGCGTATGCAGCTCAGACATAGCACAGAACTGATACATCTGCCTAGATCTGAGCTTCTCAGTGTAATCATTTAGACAACCATTTATAACAGATAATCTCTAACTGGTGTGTGCTGGTTTCCCTCTACCCATCACTGCCCAAGGTATTGTCTGTAGCCCTTCATGCACACTTTCCAAGCCACTTACTCAGTTTTGAATCCCCAAGACCACCCACTACAATTATTTCTATCAAAATATAACTTTATAAACTGTCCAACAAGCCCCTTGGACTGCCCCTGAGGTCCACATACTGCCACCTGAGAAGCTCAAGTCTTGGCTGGACACAGTCAGGCCAATCCTTCCCATAGATTTTAGACATTACAAAGCCCACATCCAACTTATATTTCTACATTTCAGTTGTCCACATCCTCATCAAATACATATCTGTAGCTACCTGCAAAACCCAAGGTGGGTCAACACAACATTGGGTTTATTCAAAGGCATAAAAAGCAAGTAACGGTGCCTATGGGGCAAATGCAATCACCCTCCGCATCCAACCAAATTCAATGATTGTACATATGGAATGGTACAAAGTGGTTTCTGATTGACTGTTTTGCTTAATGCACTTTATATCAAACGTTTTGCATAACTGAATAGGACTATAGGAAATGCTACCCTGAGCTGCTTCATTTAAACCAAGCCAGCAACACAAGACTGGATGAAGCCTGATTATTGCATGTTATGTCTTGAATGCACCCAAGATCTTTAATTCCATACTAGCTAGTTTCTAACCTATTTGGTTTAGCCAAAGCAAGTGTCATAATAGGGTTAATCTTGTGACACTATGAAACTGAAATCCTCCTGTGAAGCCCATCTTTGGTGTTTATCCATTAACTGATGAAATATAGGTTCAAGCCATTATTAACAGACTGGTAGGATCTATGGGTACTCTAGTATTTTTAACTGCCAGGGGGCATCACACTGTCCTGGCGAACAGTTATTTAAGAGCTAAACTACACATGGAGTTTTTATTTGAAGAGCAGAAGGAGAATGACAGAGGAGACAGTTATCTACAAGGGGTTAATTTCATGCTACTAAGAAAATAAAAATCTCATGTGTAGCTAAACCCCAACATTGTGTTATTGCTGACTGCATGTGGTCCACTCAGTACAAGAACAGGATTGCCCAGCTCCTAGGCAAGAATCAAGAATTGTGCCCCCTCCCCTACTATTAATACATGACATAGAATGGCTGTACCACCCTGAGTCCACTATTTGCCTCCTTGTTTCTCTGTGCCCAGGGCAGCTGCCCTTCCTGCCCACCCCTTGTCCTGGCCCTGGATCCACTGTATCAGAATAATATTTGTAAAGGGCCATCCACACAAATGATCAAGTCTTGTATTGAGTTTAAATTCAAGCAGTCCTGGTACGTAGTCTTGATACATATTTTATATATATATATATATATATATATATATATACATATATACAAGTAGTCCTACATTTGTATACATTTATAGGCAGTTGTTGAAAATGTTAATTAAAATTTTATGTCATTTGATAGGATTAAGGCTTACATGTTATTGGAACCTTAAACCTATCTATGATATACTTTACTACACTAAGCAATGACAATTGAAACAACAATAAGGAAGGAATCCTGCAGAGAGAAATGTGGAGGCTGACCTCCTTCTGAAAATGCTAGCTGCCTGGATGCCATGTACTCCAATGCCTCAACACTCGGACCTGGAACACCTATACAGACAATAGCATTAGTTTACTAAAGGCAAATAGGCTGTTCGCTTTGCAAGATAAGGTTCACTTTTAAAGGGAATTTTCCCTTAGTTTAGTGAACGAAGCAAAAAATCACTTTGCAAAAATACCCAATCATGTGCAAGGAAAATTAAAAAAATATATATATTTTTGCTTGCACATGATTGGATGATGAAACTGAGTAGATCTGTGCCCTATACACTACGTTAAACAAACAAATCCCTTGTAAAGTCAACAGCCTATTTGCTTCAGTAAACCATCCCCACAGGATTCTGCTTTTCTTCTGACTTTATTTGCTGCATGCTTTTTCAGGGTCAGTGGCTTCGAAGGTATTGAACCCAGAGATAGCCAGGCAGCTAGCATTTTCAAAAAGAAGTCAGCAATGGCAGCTTTCCTATTTCTTCAAGTGCAGGTTTGTAGTAAAATAGCATTTTCCATGACAAGTCCAAATGATTGTTGATGGACATCTATGAAGTAGAGTCACCTGCTTACAAATAGCCTCAGGAGCCATACCTGGAGTTGCCTGGACCTGCACCCACACCTGTCACCCCAGGCAAACACATTACCACCCCCCTCCCATGACCACAACTCATCCGAAACGCCTGCAGCATTCCATTCCATCCCATTGTCTCCAATAACTGATACAATTTGTGTATTCAATCATGCAACTTAAAAAACACAGAATATGCTTACCCTTCCGTCCTACAAGTCAAAAAAGAAAGAGAAAAAGGAAAAAAAGAAAATAAGTAAAGGCATCAAAAGTCCCCAGTCTTAATAACACTTCAAACTAATAATTAATAATAATTCATGAATTAATAATTATTAGGAATATTCTTATGGCAGGACATTTTGTTTCCTAAATTATAAGTACCGACCAACTGCTTCCACGGCAAAAAAGAAGAGGTCAGTAGCAAACATATTGTTTCAATAACTCCAAAGTGAAATTTTTGGCTGGAAAAGTCAAGGTGCCCAAGCTAGAGTAATACATATCCATTAGATTGTAACTTTGTATCCACATCTGGTTAGATCCAGCCAATGAAACAAAGTTTTTGAAGTTGCTGAAATAAAGTGCAAAGTCCACTTGCTTAAATCCAGTGGTGGGAATATTTTAACTCTGTTCCCAGATCTGTCACTGGGATCATTGCACTGTGCCATGTTTGCCCCCTATATGAAGGGAGCCCACCAGTAAAACCTGCCCACTCAGGAAGTCTGGGTGGGCTCAGGAAAGTCACATTCTAGGTCATCCATACAGAAATCTCCATTAAAGGCTTAAAATAGACTTCCAATTATTTGATCTAAGCAAATATACAAGTGATGAAGAATAGGGAAAAAAGATTTAATATACTGACCTCTGCTCCGGAGAAACACAGGAGGAGAAAAAAAAAAGAAAAAAAGATTAAAATATAACGTAATAACAGCAATTTAAAATATAATAAAGTAACCAAATTCTTAATATTTTTGTGTTTAATAGAGCTTATATATCACGGTCCTGTTAATAAACATTAATAATAAAAAATGAAAAATAGAATGTATTATTAAAAATAAAATAAATAAATAAAAAAAATATATATATATATATATAATATATATATATATAATCTATATAAAATGATATACGTATATATATATATATATATATATATATATATATATAATGTATCATACATATAATGTATCATATGGCACAAAAGGCAGGGGGTTGTGCACTAACCCTCAGTAGCCAATGAGAAATCAGATTTAATTTACCCACTTGCTCTAGGCTTCTGAGAACTGATCTAAGATTGGCTGACTTGGGTTAGAGCCAAAGCACTGTCCTTTGCACTATTATTACAAAACCCTATTAGCTTTATATTTTATGATGAGAATGTCAAGGAGGGCAGATCACTTTGTAGATGAAGGAAAAAAAACTTTGAAGATTTTTGTGTAATGCAGAAATGTAGAAAACCTAATCTGGTCTTGAGTTGTATTTAATGATCATCTGTTTGTAATGTTTCTGTTAATGTCTAAGTAAGTGACTTTGCCTTTCTCTATCCTATGCCAGGTTAAGATATTAGTAATAAATATTATTAAAAGGAAGCACGTATAGCAGGAATTATATAACTTCTGAGGTTTAGAGATACCTGATCCCTACACTATCTGCTTACTGCATTGACTGTCACAGACTTTATATATGAGCTTACATCTCAAGAACACATCAAACAACTTCTGCCCTGCTGCACCCTTGCTGCATTTCACTCCATATATGTATCAAAATTGGTCTACTTTCTGTTGCTCTGCATTACTGGATCTATGACTTGAAATGTCCAGCAGAGGGAGCAACCATCCATTTCTCCAATATGTAACTGCATTCCTTAGGGAACCAGTCTGTACATGGGGATGCCTAGAGGCAGCTGTGGGAAAATTCAGAAGTCATGTTCATTCACCCTTTCTTTGCCTGTTTTGGCTTTGTCAACCCTTGGCCTTTGAGTTGCTGGGGAACCACAGGTTCAAGCATGCTCCAGCTTCAAAATTCAGGCAGGAGGATCCAGGAAATGTATCTAATCAGCTGAAAAAGAGTCATATCACATTCCGGTGGTCTGGTGGTCTGGCCACGTAAAATAAAATAAAGAATAATTAACAGTTCCATCCCAGCAGTGCATATTTTTTATATATATATATATATATATATATATATATATATATTTATATATATAATTAAATGCTGCTGTTGCTTGGCATATGTGGTTCTTTAAAAGGTGGATTGCATACCTCATCCAAAATGATTCCAGATTTACCAAAACTGGATGGTGCAAAATCTGGTGCAGCTGTCCATGGTAGCCAATCGGCTTCCAGGTTTTATTGCCAAAGCATAATTGAACAAGCTGAAGTTAGAAGCTGATTGGTTATTGTGCACAAATGCACCAGATTTTAAGTGCTCCAATTTTAGTAAATCTCCCCCAATGTGTCCTTCAGAAATCAAATTCCAGATTTCCATACTCTTGGTAACTTTGCTGCCAATTGTGGAACTTCATCGCAAAAATTTGCACTTTTTGAGGGTTTCCTTGCCAGTTTCAGTCGACCAAATGTTAAAAAAAAGCAATTTCAATGCTCAGTTTGCTTGTTTCATTATTTAAAACTGGGACAGTAATAAAAGTGTGGGTGGATGATTGCTGCAGTTGCGAGCTGATGGAAAAACCTCAATATTGTCAACAAAAGTGATCCCTCAAATATCCCTAACAGTTCATATTTTTCTAAATCTCCTTACAAAATCCCAGATGAAATAATTTCTCAAGCTCTTCCCAAAAGTAATTAAAATTTCTAGTACTTTAAAAACTTTGGAAAGCATGAATTTCTACTTTGTTTCATGCTGGTTTGAGGTCCCCTGCACTAACACAAAACAGCCAGTAGATGGCGCTCATCATGCAGCTGCAAAGCCCAGACAATACAGTACAACGCCCTTGTCTCCCAGATGTGCCAAAAAAACTTTTGTCTTTGGCATCCTTATAACTCTTTTCAAGAATAACTTGCAGCCACGTTAACAAAGGACTATCCAAACCAAACTTGTATTCTGGATTTGAATACAAGCCTACCTAAGCACAGAGCATGAAAATGTTTAAAGTGCATTCTTGGCTTCTTGCCATGATGACTGGTTACAGAAAACATCTGGTTAGTGTTTGCAATTAACCATTAGGAGCAAGGAGCAGAATGCAGCTATTAGGGGGAAACAAAAAAAAAAGAAAAAAGAAAAAGAAAGAAACACCACGCATGCTGAGACAGAACCCATTAGCCCAGTTTGTGCGATAAAAAAGACAAAAAAGAGTAAAAAGAAAATGTGGAACAAGCACTGACCTTGACATGTTACTAGGTATAAAGTCACTGCAAGCAGCAACAAAGTCCGTAAATCCACAAAGCTGAGCATGGCTAGTGTCTAGTCATGCAGACTCCTTGTGTACAGAGCTGGGGTGGTATTAACTCCTATGGTTTGCAGGCATACAGTGTTGGTTTCAATGTTTCCTTCTTAGCAGAAACCTGCTGCCTTGATGCTAAAATAATAATGCCTGGTCCTTCCCTCTTATACAGCAGGAGGTTCCCTCTGTAGAGTGTCATCAAGGCACTGTAGACCAATGAGGAGTGGGATCTAACAGTGTACAGGTCATGTGCTGCTCCCTTCTCCTGCCTGCCCCACCACTTTTGGCAACAAAGGAGAGGTGGTGACGAAGGCACTGTTGTTAAATTAGTTCCATTCTCTTTGAGGACGTGGACAGTTTGTTGGTTAAAAAAGAAAATCTGGATTTATTTTTGGGACAGGCTGCCTCTCCAGAACCAATGAGAAGATGCTGATGTGTCTACCGGTGGCATGCAGGTGGAGATGGTGATGGGGATGGAACGTCCGTCCAAGTGCTGGACCTCAGAAGGGTCCATGTAGACCTTAGAAGGTCCATCCAGGATTCTTCACCTGTGTACCTGCTCACCATTGTTTTCATCTTGTTATTCTGCATTTTGTGGAACTAAATTGACTATAACCTACTGGATTTACAATATCTAACATGCCCTTTGTCAAATTCTAGGTTCATAGTCCCCGTAAAGGCACTTCAAGTCTAAGCATTCGCCTCATTAGTTTTTAAAGGCTGCTTACCTAGAACCTAGAATTTTTCTGCATGCCCTACTGTGCTAAATCAGATTTTTGTTGTGATAATTCTCCAGCTGATGTGGAACTACAAGTTCCAGCATGCCCCTATGTTAGATTGACATGCCTGCTTTTGTGTTAGCTTTAGAAAACCAGAGATCTCCTGTTTTAGAACTTTACCATGTATGTAAACTCTAAAAATAAATGTTTCTTATTTGCTGGCTTTTAATCTGTTAAATAAACCACAGATTTTTTTGGTTTTATATATATATATATATATATATATATATATTCATTTTGTAAAGTGCTGCGCAAACTGTTGGTGCTATATAAATCCTGTTTATTAATAATAATAGTAATAATAATATTTATATAATTATTTTTATTATTTTAAAATTTTTAAATTATTATTTTGTTTAATAATAATTAATATTATATATCCTACCTTCTCCTTTTCAATCTGTTAAATATAATGTACCAAGTGTTTTACTATTTTTTTTAGATAGATAGATAAAGAGAGAGAGAGCGAGAGAGAGAGAAAGAGAGGGATGGATGGATGCATGGATAGATAGATAGATAGATAGATAGATAGATAGATAGATAGATAGATAGATAGATAGATAGATAAATGGATAGATAGATAGATAGATAGATAGATAGATAGATAGATGCTAGATAGATAGATAGATAGATAGATAGATAGATAGATAGATAGATAGATGGATGGATAGATGGATAGATGGATGGATGGATGGATGGATGGATAGATAGATAGATAGTATATAACTATATATTTTTTACATTTTTATTATTTACTTATATCTGTTCAGCAATTGCAAAAAAAAAAAAAGCTGTTCATCCAGCCAGAAAGCTTGTGAGCTAATAACCTTCTGTGTTCTCTGTCTCTGGACTTTAATCATTTAGCATTGTTCCCTGCTATGCTATCTCTGTGGACTACAAAACACCTCCTGATATTATGGAAAGGAGAGGAAGATGTTATGTAGTCCTCATACAGTTTTATGTAGTCCTAACACACTCTCAGTCCTAGGGTAAAATTGCTGCTCAGTACGGTTGTGACCCTAGGACTAGAAGCAATTTAATGATAGGATCACCAGGCTAAAATTAAATGTGAAAGGGTGAAAAAAAGAAAACTAATGCAGCCAACCAGGGGCGGACTGACAACTCATGGGGCCCCCCGGGCAATAGGGGATCATGGGGCCAGGGGAATCTCATGGGGCCCCCTACTGACTCCGGGCCCTCGAGCAGTGCCCAAGTTTTCAAATGGTCAGTCCGCCCCTGCAGCCAACACATCTAAGGACCAGTAGGCTGTAATACTATCAGTTTTTATTCTTGGACTTAGATACAGGTGTATACTTACCTCACCATGTACAAGTGAACAATATCAATATCTAAATATCATTTAAATAAATGTAGGCTGCATGGATTTCTTTCTGATTGTTCCATTCTTGTTTCCATCGAATGAAGACAGGTCTACGTTTTTTTTTTTCTGAAAAAATAAAATGATTTTTTTAGGAGCCAAAAAGAGTGCAATCAAATGTCAGTTTTGTTCCCTTTGAGGCTGTAGAATAAAGGATATAAAAGAATGATTTTCATGGCCCCGCCCACTATCCTGGGATGGGGGATTAACCTCTTGTGTGCTGGATTGGTGTTGGAAGGGATGACACGTAGGGCTGTCTCTGATATGAGGAGGACAATCCATATTTCACCCATCAGAAGACTAGAAGGTGACAAAACTTTACAGTGAAACATTTTTGAGTTTGATCCACTTTTTATATACATACAATATATGGCACTGCTTTTTGAATTGTGGCTTTTGAATATGTGTATAGTGTGCTTGGACAATTGTTCTTCATTAACAGTGTGTACAATTTGAAAACCTATTGTTGCATTTTTTACATCATGTTATGTGGTAAAGCTGTTTTTTTCTTTGAACCTCTAAAAAAATTAATATATATATTGACAAAGAAAACCTATTATACCAAGTGTGGCCAACATGAGATATGTTCAGCTAGAAAGCCACACCATAGATCCATAGCTGTGCTCCAGACTGGCCTCTCCTGCACATAGACAACCTGGGTGCCGGCTATCACGGTACACCTCCACTCTTCATTGAAAATACAAAGGAATACCAATCTAAAATTGGGTCCTTTCATCCAATAAGAAGCCCCCCTTTCACATCAGAGTCCTGAGCCACCCCAACCCTTTCTTTTACATTAAAGTCCCTAGTCCCCCTCTCCAACATCAAAGTTCTCAGTCCTTCTCTTACATATCAGTCCACCTCCCTTCACATCAGAGTCTTCAGCCCCCCTTCCCTTTTACATCAAAGTCCTAAGTCCCCTCTCCTTTCACATTAGTTCACTTTCACACCAAACATTTCAATTACCCCCCCCCCCCATCCACCCCTTACATCAAAATCCTAAGTCACCCCTTCAAATCAGCCTTAGCCCCCCATTTTCACTTCAGAGTCCCCTGCCAGACCACCTGCACCATGATGGAAACACATGACACTTTACAAAAATATGGGAAGCAGTGTGTCCTATACCTTGGTTGGAGGCCGAGTTGACGAGAGGGCTTCCCTTGTGGCTCTGGTCCGAGCACCCCTGAATGTGGTGATGGAGGTACAAGGCTCAAAGAAGCACTGGTGCAGGTAGCTTGATAGCAGGTGACTACCATGGTCAGGGACGTAGTCAAGGTGAGCCAGGGTCATACATGGTGAGACAGCAGCTTGGCCAGGAAGAAGGCTGGGGTCGGTACAGGGAAGCAGGCAGAGCAAGGTCCAGTAGCAAGCAGAGGTCAGCACCAGGGAAGCAGGCAGAGAGTAGTCTAAGGCAAGGTCAGAATCCACAGAACGAGCTCAGGAACAAGCTGGGTCAGCCATGGAGGATCAATCAGTACAAACAGGAACACAAGTACACAGATCACAGAAAGCTGAAGAACATCCAGCATTTAGTACACAGCAGAGTCTCCTTTAAATAGGCAGCCGGTGCCAATGCGCGAGGACGTGCGTGCTGGCGCAGAAATGCGCCTAAGTGTCAGTGCACACTGGATATTAGCCTCAGCTCCTCTGTGTTGGTACATGTGCACGAGCATTAGCTGCATGGGAATGAGCATTAGCTGCAGAAGAATTAGCAGTACTAGTTTTCTGACAGTGCGGCACCCCTGAAAAGTCCATAAGGCAGGGGCGGACTGACCATTTGGGAATACGGGCACTGCCCAAGGGCCCAGGGCCAGTAGGGGGCCCCATGAGATGCCCCTGGTACCTTATTCATAGGCTTTTTTGAGTTTGGGCAAGGACCCAGGGGCCCCATGATCCCCTATTGCCCGGGGCCCCATGAGTTGTCAGTCCGCCCCTGCCCCGGGGTGCCACAACACTCTGGTTGGGATACATTGCACTGATATAATTCAATCTTGGGCAACCTGAGACTCCTCTGCTGGTAATAGAGGTTTACCGCATGATCTGCTGAAATGGGAATAGGTTGGGGTTCAAGACAAATCCTGCAGGTTTGAGATTTAAGGTCCTGGCTAGTTCATAGAGCATTTGATAGGTGGTGAGGAGGTGCTGTATTGCCCGCTTCCTCAGAGGAAGAGGTTGTGTCCTCGAAACGCGTTAGCCAGTTGGTCATCCAGGGTTCCAGCGTATGGACTCAGATGTTGTTTGGATCATACATCTTGTTCAGTTTGACATACCTGTGTTATTATGTCCATTGTGAGTATGATACCTATTTTTGTTTCTATAATAAATTATTTTAAACGATAATGCACTCGGTCGGTGCGCCCTTTTTCTGTTTCTCCATTTGTATCCAGTGTATTCGGACCACCCCGGTCTGTTGAGGGCAGCAAGCAGTGCATATTCCAGAAAATTCCAGAACACTCCTATTGGGTCTACTGAGTCCTTTCCTAGCACAGGAGTAAAGTGTTTGTTGTGTTGGCTGTATTGCCCACCACTGCCTGCTTGAGTGGCCCCATTTACTTAAATGTATTATGCTTGGCGGAAAGTGTCAGGTACATATTCCTGCCATGGCTGCAAAGCAGAGCATCACTGCCATTGCATAAGTACACCCCCGCCTACTGCCTGTGCCACTAAAGGGGGAGTGGTAAAAACATGACTCAATTATGGGTTTCTGCAGCCCCTCTACTGCTAATGTGAACGATCCCTAAAATAGGTGGAACACAGCTGCCATAGTGTCATATATTGGAAGCTGCTGCAGGGAGATCTGACAAAGTGCACAGAGAGAGGTTAGGGTCAGTTAGGAAACTTTTGTTTCTAGTAC